TTGAACTTGTCGGTATTATAGAAATTATGAAGAAGTAACAAGCTTGTCATTTGTTTTGCCTGGGCTACATTTAAATATACTTAAAACTGAGAGAATGTTGCAATTTGGGGCAAAAGAGTTGTCGACGTGCGTGGCAAAATTACAATATCTCCTCAGTTTTAAGTATATTTAAGTAAAACAAATAATAAATTTGTTACTTCTCGATAATTGTTCTATCCAGTGATATCATATCACACTGACGAGTTCAAAAAGAAAGCGACGAATTATTATGTATGGTTTGGTCACTCGTTATGGTCCGCAGTCAGTTGCTAGTGCAAGTGGTTACAAAAGAAAAAAAAAAGAAAAATGAATACAGTACGCGTGAGTGAATCGCCAAACTTTAGATATCAATTTAGGATCGTAGAACAAATTTCTCCTGTATGAGTATGCTCGTAAATGCTTCCCAATCCAAACCTAACCAACCAACCTTCAAAAGGTAGTATTTGCTACTAAAGTTACTAGGACTTAGTAACGTGTGCCATCGAAATAATTCAGGTTTATTACGTATATTGCTAAAAAAAATTATTGTACTTGTTACTAAAAATAATTCTAATTGTTACTCGAAAGATAGTTCAATGTTATCCATTCCTAATTCTCAAAGGAAGCATTTGCGAGCATACTTGCATTTGTTTATCCTAGGATCCTAAATTCATATCTAAAGTTTTGCGATTTAACCCGGGAACACCCTGTATATATAAAAATACCAAACCTCGGAAGATACACGGGAAAAATTATCTGACAAATAGACTCGTTTCGTGGAGTGTTCGTTCATTAAAGCTCAAGTTCGTTCAAACATTTTTAACGTCATAAAAGGTGGCCTTCTTCAAACATACACATAAAATATCCACTACAGAACACTCTTTATAACATATAAAATACGAAAGCAAGTCATTTAGGCTTTAGTTCTCCAACGACGCGCATAAAAATTATAAAAATTTTTATGCATAACGATCCACGTGATCTGTATATTACACGCGTCTTTCAGTTTCATGGTCTTTTGGTTCGTGGAATCCCCGAATGTTTCACAATTTTTGGCGTGCGTCGAGGATTCTTGACAGTACGAAGCATGTTCTTGTAGAAGGACAGGAAAATGCTTTTCCATTGTACGACGTGCATGCATTTTGATGCATAATTTCGATCGACAGAATCTCTGTTGCGTTTCAAAACGAGTGAAGTAACATTTCCGGGAGACGCATTAATATACGTTATATTTATTTAACCTTCGGACCAGTAGGAATTTTATTTTTGTCGCACTTTCAGTTTCTAATGAAAATTTTATTCTAAGTCGAAAGACGTGGGCTTATTTTCCGAATTCTGAAGCAATTCTATGAAATAATTGCTGCATTTTCAAACATCGTGTTCGAGAAAAAAAGGCGTTAAAAATGTTCAAGAATAACTTGAAACTAAACGAAACGCAAAATCCATTTATTGTTGTTGCAAATTAAGAAATAATGAAATTAAAATATTGAAACATTTTGTTATTTCATTTCGTCTCTTACATATTCCCTTTTTTTGATATATTATACGTGTCTTCTAACATCATAGTCTTTAACGCCAGAACTGCGAACTAAAGTATTTACAATACAAGTAATTTAATACAGTAATAAAAGTAATACGACTAAAGTAATACAATAAAAAAACACAAGCTTTCATTTATATATTTTACTAAAAATCGTTCTCTAAACATACGCTCGTTACAAATATACAAAATTTCCATGGGCCAATGATAAATTGGTCATTTCGACCTCTTTGGTACTTCGACTGAAACAGCGTTTCTGTTAACTCATGGTTAAGACGATTTTTCTTTAAAACGAGCATTCTGTTCTTATTCTCTTATACACGATTTTCAAGTGTCGTGTTCGCATCAGGCGGCGCAAACTTTTCAAAAAGTGTTTGAACTCTTCGAGTGATTAACGTTCACGAGCATCGACGAACAAACACGAGTTTTCGTTCCTGAGGAAATTAGACCTACGTATGTGCAACTAAATATAATTGCGTGATTATTACGTTAGTCTAGTGCTGATTGTTTCTGTCAATATTTGTAAATCCTGATAATGGCGTGCTCTAAATCAGAGTACTAATTGTGGAGTATTAACGTAGAGCGGAACGAAGCTGCACGAGGGTCATTATTCGTAGGCTATGTACGAGTAGCATTGTGGTATACACATATGTACAATATCTAATCGACGTGTTTCGCGAACAGTTCGTCAGTCAGCGTTTCTATGAAAAATTGTTTTATAAAAAGAATTACGAGTTCGCTATTTATGTACAGGGCAAAATTGTAGAAGCATGTAGATTTCGCCGGGCTGCACAGACGTTTCAATGATCAATTTCCCTGTTTTCTTGATTGGAATGTTGATGCAATTTTTGCGCGAAAAAATATATTAACGTCCGAAGTTTAATAAAAGTGGTGGAAGTTCCAAAAAGAGGAGGGAAAAAGAGTTCAATCTTCAAAATCTAGTCACGAAACAAATTTGTTAATGTTTGTAAAAACGTTCGAATTTTTACAATCTTCACTGCATCATGCAAAAATATCTTTGAAAGAAAAGGACTCGGTATTGTCAGAGTCAAGTTTTTACAATTTAAAGTATCGACAATTTTTCATCGTTAAAATGCGTTCTTCGCTGTGAATCATCCGTTACTAGCAGAATTAAAACAGCTTCGAATTTCATTACAGACATTGAACATTTACAATAAAATATCGAAATGTTCGAAATTTGTTATTGTTCAAAATGCTAGATTTTAAAAATTTAGATGCTTCAGATATTTCGAATAGAAAACCCTATGGGTCCTGTGTTCGATATACACGAGTTGACCTGGAACACGTTTCCTTTTGTAGCACCAGCTTTTAGACTTTTCTCCTTAATTTTTAAAACGATCCATAGCCGATTCGACTCATTCTCAGTTCCACGCCGAAAGGAACATTTTTGCTAGTCATAAATTGAAACTGAAATGGTGAAATAAGTAATCTGATTAGACATTCACTTTAAAATATTCGACAGTGAAATTGATAAATGTATAGTCAGGCAAGGTTTATGTACGTGCTATATTCGCCAAACTCAAACGATTTAAAGAAATGTAAGAATTTGAAATAACATGTATGCTTTTTAGTTGAAATTATATAGATCCTGAAATTTTACACAATAATTAAAATATATATATATATATCTTTTTTAAAATCTATCACTGTTCCGCGTTTTTACTGCGAATAAGCAAAGTGCTGCTATCTATCGAATCTGTAGATAAAGAGAATAATAGTGATAAAGATAAATATATACGCATTTTTAACAGAAAAGTAGTTTAAAATGTGACGGGAATAAGCTATATGTTGCTATCTAACGGAGGCTGCTAAAACTAAAATGCTAAAAATAGAATATATAAAGTTATCATGTTTCGATAATGTAGAAACCAACTATATTACCAGTTGGTAAAATGAGAATGAACAAATATTCACTCACCGATGTGAGTGAATATCTAATACGTAAATGATTTCGGTTAATTACTAGCTTCACATTTCGGTATTGAAAGTATGACAACACTGTATTGGGTTTCAAAAATCATATTCCTGGCGCATTCACTACTTAACTAACCTCGATCGTTTTACTTGATGTAATTCCCCAATTCACCGTTTTTTGAATGTAGAGTGCGCTAAAAAAACCAATGATTTTTTACCTCGTCGATATTTCAGATCCCCGGCCAAGAAACCCTGTAAGGTGTAAGGTCTATTCATATACCTCGTCGGTGCTACTAGAAAGATATCTTGACAATTGACGATTATTGGGCAGTGAATATAGAATTTCATATAAAAGTATATAGTATTTGGGGGGCGTTAAGTTCATGTACTTTTCATTTCCGGAGTTCTGTTACAATTACCTTTATTTTCTACAAATGCAATCCATCAGAAGTTGTCGGGAATTTCTAATTCATTGACATTTGTTTGGAGGTGCTAATATGTGTGCATTCCCTATTAGAAAATATCGTGCCTCAACAGATATAACAATAAGTAATTTTTAATGACTACTATAGAAAATTGCCATAACATATTGAAGACAGAAAGAATGGAGAACGTTATGGAGGGTGTTAATGGACAGTTACAAATGAAATATCAAAAAATTGCTACAGAATATTCAAAAGTAAGAAATATTCAATATATCATTTGTATAATCCAATTTCTGAAAATTTATAGATTTGAATAGAAGTGGTAATTTTGCCTTTTATATCATGCACTGTCATCTGTTCGTGAAATGAGTTACTGCTTTCTATAGTTATAGTAATATTTATAAATCGCATGAAAGTCATTATCAAAGTCATTATCATTTCTTTCTCAGATTCGTGCTCAAGCAAACGTTTTAAAGAGAGCTGTGATTGATGAACAAGCACGTAATGCTGATATTCGAGAACAACTGAAAGAGAAGGAGGTAGAGCTTCGCAGAGCAGAACAGGAATTAGACAGTTTATCATTTCGAAATCAACAATTAACTAAACGTATAACTGTATTGCAAGAAGAGCTTGATAAAACACAAAATAAACCTAAGAAAGGAAAGAACAAATTAGCAGAAAATAATAGCCAAGTATTGGCATCTCCAAACCATATCTTGGATGAAGAATTTCAAAAAAAGATAGTCGAAAATGCGCAATTATTGTCACAAATCAGTGACAAAGATAGCGAAATTGAAACTTTAATTGAAAGGATACAACAGCTAGAATCTAAATTAGATTATTGTGAAAAATCTAAAATCGAATTAGAGTGTCAATATCAGAATACTATAGACAAACTAGAAAGAGAAAGAAATGATATGCAAAAGAAGTTAAATGATAACCAAAAGCAAGAGGAAAGTACATCATGGTCTAGTAATGAAGGTAAAAGGGATGGATATGAATCTGACAATAGAATAGGACACTCCAATTTTCCAGAGGTAGAACCGTCACCATTTTCATCCCCATCTGCATCACGTAGATCATTAAAGTCTATTAGTGAGGGTCAGTCTAAGGTACAAGAAGAAAATAACGATTTTTATTTTTCAAAATCATGCGACTTGGAGAAAGAAATTAACCATTGGAAAGCACAATATCATATATTTAAAATAAAATATGATGAAATACAGCAAAGAGAGTCCATAAATAATAGGCAGATTGAACATGAATCTTTGCAACCTGTAGAAATAAATAATATGGTAGTATTTATTTTAAATTATTTGTAAGAATTTTCAATTAAGATAATCTAATTAATGAATATTTATGACAGATTGGAAAACTAACAGTACCTTTTGCAATACCAGAAGAAATTGAAGCTAGGGAAGCAAAAATCAGAGAATATTTCCTGCAAGAGATTGACAAGTTGATATCAGAAAAACATATTTACCATGTGAAAAATTTAGCTATGGCTGCTAATGTAATTATATAAGTTTATAAGTACATAAAACTTATATTTTCTGCTATATGCTTAATTGAAAAATTATTTTCCAGAACGAAGTTCTACAAGCTCATTTAGATACGAGTGAATCAAAAAGAGAAAAATGTGAGTCAGCTCTTACAGAAGCACTTTCAAATTGCAATATTTTACAAAAAGATAAAGAAATACAAGAAGGAAATTATAAAGCACAGCTCAGTACTATGAGCGAACATCTTGCTAATATGAATGAAAAACTTATATCGCAAACAGAGGAAATACAACAATTAAAATTTCAACTTGTAAATAAGGTAACAATTTCTTATAAATTTGAATAGAATTATTTTAAATACTCAGTATATGGTTTAATAATTTTCAGAACAATAAAAAGGGAAAACAAAAGTGATACAAATCAGATTATAAGTTAACAATTATTAACATTCCAACAACATGAATTATTAGTAATTTTAGTTTTGTGTACATATGCAACTTACCTGATAAACAGTAATTATTTTTCACTACACTTTAACTGTGTCATTAAATTTTCAAAATCAATATTATTATCAATAATAATTGATAATAACACTGAAATCTATTATTTATAAAATAAATAAAAATTATTATTGACGTTAAATTTATGAATATTTACAACGAAAATTGCAAATTATGTAGAATACATGATATTGTCACTGATGTGTCCAGAATCAGCTTGAACAAATTTTTGTTTCATAAGTTCAATTAAAATTTCTCTTTGTATTTCATTTAATATGAAATAAATTAAAACATCTGATATTCTTGAGTATTAAATATATAATATATAAATAAAATAATTAAACAGACTGAAAATTTTACTTTTTTGGTGAAAATCTTAAACTCCCGTTTTAACAAAATAATAGTAAATTATTATTATTCCTTTTCTTTATATCAATATTAGCACTTTTTTGCATGCCTAGGCATAAAACAATTGGCGGATATGGAAGTTTCATCCCTACGAGCAACGATTCTGTCATGAGGCATACTGTACACACATAACATAAAAAATATCTAAACAATTATAATTCATTTTTTTCAATTTTCATAAATAAAATTTAAATTAAACAAATCACCAAATAAAAATAAATAAATATATATAATTATCGCTAATAAAAATAATATTCTTAAATAATAAAGAATTGCAAGAAATTTTTCAAATTGAAGTGAAAAATGTCATATTATAAAAATTTATTAATATATGTTTTATACGTACATTGAAATTAAATTGAAAAGTAATATTTATCAAGAAAATAGTAAACATTTATGTTTATTTTATAAAAAAAATTATTGAGATCATGAGAAGGTTATATCCATTTTACAAAACTGCAACATAAAATTAATTTATATTATTATTGTTGTTACCTTATTTAATTGATTACACAATGTCCATTACTTTCTATGATTCTACTTTATCATCTTGCAATCTTCTGATTTTTTAATTGAAGAGAGTATTATGTACATATATTATTCGATTTCATCAGATATTATATTTTTTTTTTTTACAATGATCATTTTATAATGATCCAGAAAAGTAATATCATTATATTATATATTGAAACCAAAAAAGTTTTTTTTAATGTTTAATATATCACTTTGATTTTTGTTCTTCTAATTGAGTGAAAACATTGTTATCATTTTCTTTGTTTTCATTCTGTAACATTAATTAAGCATTATCAAATTAAATTACGCAGAATTAATTATATTACGTAGTAATAATGAAGAAAAGAATGCATTTAAGTACTCACTTTTCTATAAATTGCAGATTCAGATTGAGTATGGAATTGCATTGATTTTGATACATCTAACGTTTGTGTAATATTTTCAATATGAGAATCTGTAGACAAACTTTGTTCGTTGTTCTTTGATAGACATGTATCAAACATTGTATTCTCAATTGCAGAAGATACGAGGGTAATATCAGATAATGCTGTTGAATTTGCAATTTGCTTCATTGTCGTTTCACCAATCATAGAAATGTTTTCTTGTGTATCCTGGAAACGACACAAATATGTGAGATATTAAAAGTATATAAAATATCGTATTTATACTACTTACTTCATCTTCTGTTACATTAAGCAATTTTCCAGTTTCTCTAAATTTTTGAAGAATTCGTTCATGCGGAGACGTTGTTTTAAATTGACGAGGATAGGAAAAGTTTTTCCTAGCAGGAGTTAATCCTATAAAAATTTTATGAAGTAAATTTTATGAAAAACGAGTATTTTCTTTTTCTATTAAATTATACGTGATAATAAACCTGTTGGGATATCACGTTGTACATCTTCATCAAAAAATTTATTAATTTCGCCAACTGCCGTTTCTAATTGGCCAATAACATTATCATTCCGCATACATGATTCCATTATTTGATTTTTTAATTGAGTAGATATATTTTGACACACATTTTCAATTTCCACCTTTTTATCTTCCACGAATTTTGCATGATTTTTACTTATATCTGAAATTACTTTATCTGCATCCTATAAACATGTTACATTTGTTAATATTTGATATTTTATGATAGATTAAATTAAACATATCTTATAAATTTACATTAATTGACGAAAGGGCTGTATTCTTATCTGCTTCTATTTTCAGTTGTTCTTCTTTCATATTACTTTCCATAGTATTCTTATACTGCATTGATGCATTACAATTTTCATTCACATTTGACTTTAATTCATTTATCAAATCTTCGCCTTGGTTTGTAATTCTGTTTGCAATTTCTTCATTCTATTAGCAAAATAAAATACAGTATATTAAAAACAAATATAAACATTTAAGGTTGAATGAAGAAATAAAATCGGGGTTTTTATTTATATAAAAAATACACAAAAATTACCTGTTTTGTTCCAACAATAACAGTATTTTCAATTTTCTTTATATCACTTTGTATGTGATCTTTCAAATCATTTCTCATTTTAACATTCATATTAGAATTATTTATCGCTTGATTATTAACTTCATTACAAACTGTATTAACATAATTACATTTATCAGTTACAGTAGAATAATGTTCTTCTTGAATTTTACGTAATTCGTTAAACTGCGAAAATACATTTTGCATCATCTAAAAAATAATAATTTTATAAAATTCCGAAATTGAAATAATACAATAATATAATCATATTGTTTATACTTCGGCAAATAAATGTTGTTTCTCGCTAAATTTTTGTTTGTTACGAAGTACTTCAATGTCTTTCATGATACTTCTGACATTTTCAATCGTACGATCATTAATTTTTAATTCATAATTACAGGAAGTATCTATCATTTTTTCTAAACGAATTGAAGCTTCTGTCAATTTTTCACATATATTATTCCTCATGATCTGAAGGTTTTTAGTTATTACATTTTCTATCTTATTGTTGATGCTTTGAATTAGTCGCTGATGACTGACACTGATTAATTCATCTTCATATTCTACTGTGCCAACCATATTTCTTATTTCATTTTGTATCCAATTTTGATATTTTGTATGCTATGGCGTTAAAAAAAAAGATAAACATTTATAATTAAAGATAAGAAAAAAACAGTAACTTCATAAAAATTAACAAATACATACAGATTCATTTATATTTGTTGTTAAGTTAGTAATATCAGAGTGGTTCAGATTACTCGTTGCGTTTTGATGTGTTACTGTATCGGCAGTATTAGATTTTATAGAAATTTCTATACAACAGAAGCGATAGAAATAATAATTAATAAATAAAGTATAAAAATTCCTATCGTAATGAAAAGCATATATTACCAAGGTCATTTTTTATTGAAGTAAATAGTTCCTTCAATTTTTCACCATATATAGATACATCTTTTTCTACATTTTGTACATATTCAGAAATATTGCTTCTTAAGGTATTGCCAAGATTTTCGAATTTTTGTTCTGTTTTACTAGAAAGAGAGAGAAGATAGTAAAAAATTATTTCATTATGAAATAACATATAAAATATAAAATATTATGTCTACGAAAAGATATTTTGTACATTTCAAATTTATAAAATTAACATTTTATATAGTTGTAAAAAGTTGTAAATGTAATTGACAAACCTTTTCCGATCAATTTTATCATGTAATTTATATGAATCTGTTATTGCTGTATCTGCAACATTTAATAAAGTATGACCTTGATTCAATAAAGATTGTTCTGTATTCATATGTTTTTCTACTAAATATTTATGCTCATCTCGTTCCTGCGTTGTTAATTTTAATCGGTAGTTTGTCGATTGTAGAGCATCAGTGACATTATTTAACTTAATCTTGACTTCATTTAATTCTTCTGTCTGAGCAATATTTTGTAATTCAAGTTCATAAAAAATTTTCTAAAAAGAAGTATATATTTAAAAAAGGAATTAAAAAGTATAGAAAAAAATATCAAAACTTTGTTCATTAATAAAGATGTACCTCTTTGTCTTGCATAGCTTTTTCAAGCGCTTTTATATGATTAATTTTTTCTTCTATTTGTTTAGTCTGTTGTGAAATTAGTGTTTGCATTTCTTTATAATTATCATCCGCTAGATAAACACCATTTCTATCACGTGAAGCTAATAAATCTCTTCGCAGTTTTTCAATTTCTTCTGTATATTGTTTTAAAAATTCTCGTTTCGAAAGTTTCTGATTTATTTCTGGCCGATTCGTGATATTTTTTGCACGATGCGCATAATCTAACGTTGATAATGTTTCCTCAAGATTAATACTAGCAGGCGATATAGTGGCAATAATCGACGTTTTTGTACGACCACCTAATGACTCCTGCAGTAATCTTGTAAGCTTAGATTCCCTACATGACATAAAAAGTAATATTATAAAAAATTATATTAATGATTTCATTTTTAAAGACAAAATATTTGTTACCGATAAGGTATATGAGGTGCTCTTTCAACAAGAGCTGTTATAACTCGGCCAAGAGTCAATAAAGACTGATTTATGCTGCCAGCTTCTCTTGCTCTCTTGTCTACAGAGCCAGATCTTCCAACGTTTTCACTGCCAGCTAGGTCCACTAAATTTAATTTTCCCGTTTTTAGAATCTCTTCACCATCAATAGTACTTTCTTTCATGTGTATAGTGATTGAGAATATTGTATGAGACCGACTGTAATTATGTTTAAATATTAAACCAATATATTCCGAAACATAAAGTTATATAATATACAAAATATTTATAAGCATGCATCATGAACAATTATGAAAAAAAAGATAGAGGAATAACCTAGATTGAGCATTCATCAATGTTGCAGCTGTTTGCCTTTTATCTGCTCCTTTCTTAAGAATTTTATAAACTTCACTTGTATTGTGTATTGTCACTTCTTCTAACCCATGTATAATTACTGCACCTTTCTTCGATGCATCTTCGTACAATCTATTCAATTAGATGAATAAAACAATTGGTCAAAATATTTAAGCATTTCCTTTTGATTTAAAAAACTTGTATTACATACCTCAATTTAGATGCGTCACTGCTAGTTGATAAAAGATCAAACAAATCTTCATTATAGAGTTCAAGAAAACTAACTCTAATTGTATATTCTTGTATCTCTAATAATTGCAATTTGTAAAATAAATGATTTAAGGAACGTGGTATCATACCAGCAGATGAATCCTAGAATATATATAAATGTAAATAATGCTCTTTCATATTTTACATGACTACTAACTGATTATTTTATTTTGTTACTATCATTATTATTACCCTCTAGTATGACCCTCTAGATTAGTCATATAATTTATTATTGAATACTTTTTAAAAACACTATACTTTTGTATAAATTTATTTATAATTAAAATTTTATATTATGCGAATAAATAAGTGTAGAAAATATCTTACACTATTCCAATGTAAAGTTGGATCAATGTTAATTCCTTCCATTGTGTATGTTTTCCCAGTGCCAGTTTGACCATATGCAAATACTGTACAGTTATATCCAGCCAAAACTTGCTCCAATAATGGACTAACAACATTATTATACACATCGATCTGTCAATTAAAAATATATAGTAAACTGTTATTTCTTTAAATATATGTGCTTATTAATCTCTTCAGGGACAATTTTTAATTTCAGTTATAACAAAGAAATTTCGTTTCATTTCATTTTTGGTAAATAAAGTAAATAACACATAAAAAAATTAAGTTCACATTTCAGAAGTGACAGTTCACATTATGAAGTAGTTTTTCTGTAGAACATAAATTAACTGTTTACATATATGGCTCAGGGCATGAATAAGCTAATAACAAACACGTACCTGTTTCGACAGAGGTCCAAACACATTATTAAACCTGAACTTTTTAGAAACTTTATCATTTGGACGTTCATGTACTATTATCTCTTTGTTATTTGGGATATCCAATACAGTTGTAGACTGAAGATTTTGCTCAGAACTATTAAGAGGTCTAAGAAAATAAAAATTGAAAAATAAGACAGTAAAGAGTATGCTTCTTATGTAAAGACAAATTACATTCTAATAAAATAAACGCAATGTGTATGCTAAACATTAAAGTGTAAAACAATTAATAGTAAAGTATAATTTACTTTATGTATTCTGAATCTTTTAACTGGTAGTCTCTTGAAATAATAACTGAAAGAAACATTATATCACTCACCTAATACGAACAAATACCTGTATCTGTTGACCTTTCTTACCGCAACGTGTATCATTCATTTTTATTATTATTCAAATTATACTGACTTTTGTTGAACTGAAACTTTTGGCAGACTTTTATCTTCTCTCTTTATGGATTTTCGTTATTTCTTTTCATAGATCCCGTTTTAAACATCACATGAATTACACTCGCTTCTTAAAAATAATGCAGACTGTTCGTTACGATTTAAATATCAAAGAATTTAAAATGTATAGTACTTCATCTGGCCACTTGGAGTGCTAATTTATCAATGGCTTTTAAGGCAGATGTCCAATGCGGATTATGCGTACATGAAATATAATAGTGATATATCTAATATTAGAATATGTTAATATGTAAATTATTCTATCAATCTTCTGTATTTTACACTAATAAATATAATTATAAATATATATAATATATAATATTAACACATTAATGCGATGATATTGTAACTAATATTTATTAATTAAGCATTTTTCTTGATTTTTCAACATGTTTTTTTATCTATTGTATGAATTAGGTAACAAATTTATTTTTGTCAAATACATATTTTATTTGCATCTACTATGTATAGTAATCAGTATATACATATATTTGCGACTGTCGCACACACAGATACACATTAGAAACATGGCGAAATTGAAACACACGATTTGGAATGTTTCTTCAAATTTTGCTGCAAATCGATATTTCTCACGTTTGTTAACGTAAGTTTTCAACGAAAATTTTTTATTACTTTATGTTGCATTTATTTTTAAACTTTTTTTCCAACGAAACAATTTCAATTTAATTCTAAAATACAAGATTCAGAAGAAACCAAAAATTTGACAGTAAATGTGAATTTATGCTATACACTTTCCAACAATGTTATTTTGCAATGAACTGGAAATGAATTTTTGCCCATAGTTCTCAGTGGTACAATGTGTCTACAGATTCATTACTAAATAAAACAATAACAGAAGATAGACCAGATTCCAAAAATGATATCATCATTACAGATAGTTGTGTTCAGCGTTTAAAGGAAATTACAGATAACAATGCTTATTTAAGAGTTACAGTAGAAGGTGGAGGTTGTTCTGGTTTTCAATATAAATTTGACTTGGATACAAATATAAATGAAAATGATAAGTAAGTGTCATAAAAGTAATTAAAATAGTTTATGCAACTACATATAATATTACTGAAAGATAATTAAATACAATGATGTATTGCAGAATATTTCAAAAAGATGGTGCAAAAGTGGTTATAGATACAACATCTTTAGAATATATTAAAGGATCAACAATAGAGTATCATACAGAATTGATACGTTCTGCATTTAGAATAATTAATAATCCTTTAGCTGAACAAGGTTGTAGTTGTGGTGCTAGTTTTTCTATTAAAATATAATTTTTTATGTAAATTTCAATATAAAAAGATTTAAATATATGTATATCGTTGTTCTGATAAAATAGTTGAAGATATTAGATTTTTGTCAAAAAAAAAAATTTACTAATTTGTTTATTTTATATATATCACATATTTAAATGTTAATACTATTTTCTTAGGTATTTTAATTTACTTTATATTAAATTAATTACAAGCTACAATTCAACTAATACTAATTATTGTAAATGTATATAAATGATGATACATAATACATAATATATATAATTTTTGTTGTAAAAAATAAATACTAGTAATAATTATTTATTTTATAAACAAAAATAATAATGATCTTAAAAATGTTTTAGTGTTTGCTTAATTTATCTTTAAGTTCTTAATTTTTAATTCAATGGGAAATTTATAATGTAATATGCATATAATTTCAAATAGTACTACAAAATACTTATAAATAATATAAATAAATAAATTGCTTGATTATTAAATTAGCAGATGTAATTATTTATGGTATTATATGAATAATAAATTAATATTACGGGAATGAAATAAAGAAAAAGCTACGATTGAATGTTAAACAGAGGACCATGAAATAATTTTTATAAGAAAAAGTTGCCGTATTCCGACTGTTTATTATTGATCGATATTGACTTTACAATAGATAACAAGTTTTATATTAATTTGCAATAAAAATTTATATTTGTAATAAAATAATATCCATTTTTTGAAGGTACATAATATTTATATTGAATTGTCAAAAATTTTTTACAGTAATGTTTTATAGATTTAAAACACTTAATGACTAACTTTTATATTCACATTTAATATTTCACTCTTTCTTAAATCGATAAAACGTTCTTATAATTATAGCTTGAAAGATACATATGAACGAAGCAATAATGTACAAAGCAATATGATATTGCCCCCAACTATTCTGAATCTACACAATGTGTGTATGTATATGTATATGTATATATATATATATATATATATATATATATAATAAAGAGCCAATTTCATAAACTTGATAAATATACACATATAACAATAAAAATAAACATACATACATACATGTTATATCAGTTGCAATGTTTTACATAAATTATTATTAAAATTATTGTTATTATTTTAAATATATATATTTTCTATTACAGTAATTCAGTAATTCACTATATTTTGGCCTTAACAAGAATGCTCTAATTTCTATGAAATTGACTTTCATTTCTAATATGTCATTAATATAAATAAATGACATATACATAATATAAATAAATTAACCATAAAATTGTTGGTAAAGATACAAGGAAAATCAGAATTAAGAAATTTTATGTTTTATCTTTCTATTGCTAAAATAAGCAATAAAATGATACATATTTTTACTTATTTGAACATTGAAACTATTTGAAATCTATTATAGATTTTACATGATAATAATAGATTTACATTTTAATCTATTTGTTAAAATTTTTGAAAAATAAAAAATTATTACTAGATAAAATTATTAATAGATAATAATATTCGATAGTTTTACTTTATACCTAATATTTCACAAAGTTTCAATATTTTGTACTTCTACATAACTTTTTAATTAATATTTTTTAAGTAAATTTATATTTACCAATAATTTTATTTTATTGCATAATTTTCATTATTAACAAAGAATCTTTATTATGTAAGACAGCATTTTTTTGTCTAAAATTGACGCACTTGATGGCACGATTACCAGAAGAAAATCATAAATTAAACTTAATATATCTACTTTTTACCAATGATATTAAAATTTTAATTCTATTAATTGATAGATATAATAAACTTTCGTTTTTCCTATATTATAAAATTATGTTTGAATAACCACAATTTATTAAAATTTATTAAAATTTATAAAACATATACATATATAACTAACAAATATAAAATTTATTTACCTCATGATATTAATGTTTTAAAAGTATGTGACTTTTATTTACCAAAATCTTTTAATGTTAAAATTGTAGACATTTATTATATTTGGCGAAAATTCAATATTCAATGGTTCAAATAACTCAAAATGGATAAACGGAAGTTTATTGCATTAATCATATAAAATTATATTGCCGAAACAAATTTTTAGTTACCTTCAATTATTAAAGGTAATTAATTATTATTATTACGATCTTTATAAATATATTACGAGTATCGTAATATTTTCAAAATAACATTACAAAAAAGTTTCTCTTTTTTTCACATTTTTTAATTTATATAATTAAATAATATTCAAGAAAACTTTTCTTAGTTATCTTTGCTGGATACGTAACGCAAGTTGTTACGTCATCAAGCGCGTAAAGGTACTATAACATTTCCTTAATAAATAAATACTTTAACTTTTATTAGTAGAATATAAAAAAGCTAAAGATTATTTACGGAAATAATTTGATTGATCCAACCAATGAACGCCGAAACTTTGACATAAACTCCAGGAACATCCAATCTTCCACAACCGAAGCCCCATGATACCAGCCCAGCTAATTCAAAGAATCCGTCATCTTGGCATACTAAAGGACCTCCTCCATCGCCCTATCAAATATTACTTACGTAACTTTTCTTGTTATATTCTTATTATTGTTCTATTTTTAATTATTTTTACTAATATTTAATTGTACCTGATTAATAAATTAAAATTTATCACTAGTATTCGTTACTGTCTACAATAAATTACAAAACCTGCTCCTTTGGGTACAAAAATTTCTCTGTAGAATATATATATATACGTAAAGCATAATTAATATTACCTGACATGCATCGTTGCCTTGTTCACCACCAGCACAGAAACTACTTGCTGGCAAAATGAAAATTTTTTCAGTTACAGCATTCACTTTTCGTATGCATTCTGCGTCGCTTACAATCGGTATTTCCGCTTCTCGTACACGAAGCGGGATAGGACCAGCTATATACAAACATACAAAATATATTTATTAATTGATAGTATGTAGAGAGAATTAATGAATGATACAAGAGACTTACCTTCTCCCATATATCCATAACCAGTGACGGTGCATCGTTTACCAGCTGTATGACTAACTCCCCGTGCAGGCAAACATACTAAACAAACACCATCTTTAAGTTCTGCTTGTCCATGAAGCTTTAATAGTGCTATATCATTATCAAGAGTTTGACTGTTATGATTGTGATGAATGTAAGTGGTTGCTACTCGCAAAGTTTGAGCACCAGGACTTCCATATTTCCTTGTCAAATCGTGATCACCTACCCTTACATAAATCGCATCGCCAGACCTCACAATGCTATAAATAAAAAATAAAATAATAAAATTATTTAAAATATTTACTTCTCTATTATCTCTTTAACTTTACAATTTCTTACAAAATTTAGGAAAATTAGTAAATGATAATTTTATTAAGATTCAGAACGCTTACTTTGTTACACAATGTGCAGCAGTCAATACCCACTGCGTGCCAATGAGCGCACCGCCACAGAGATATTGATTCAAGGAATTAATCAGAGCAACTTGCCAGCACCATTCATTAGCATCTGCGTCTTCCCCTCCAACAACGCGAGCTCCTCTTTCAAGACTACGCGCTTGGATCGGTCCACGGGAAGTTCCTTTTACCCCACACACGTATTTACTGTACACAGGGCTTCTCATTGTCGTCATCATTGTTGTTGTTTCATCTACAAAGTTAGCGTCATATTAATATATAAAAAATCTCACAACGAGCATTTCATTGACATTATGACAACGCAGTGACGCTACTGAGGCGTCATGTGATTTTCAGCGATTAATAACTATTATTATCATGCTAGAGTATGTATATATTCTATAACTTACATACAGACGTTGAAAGTGGTGTTGTATATGGCCTTGAAGTAACATACATAGTGTCGTTTCTATTACTCAAAATTGCTTCAGTGGAATTTCCACCGTTCAATTCTCGTATCAATGATTTTGGAGCACAACACTGATGCCCTTGTTTCTTACATTTGAACAAATTTGTTAGTTCGGCATTTCCTACAAAAAAAAAACATTGAGAAATTTTATTTGTATACAACAAGCAACAATATTTTATTTATCATCAAATTATTAATTATTATTTTATATTGGATTTTAAAATAATAAAAATAAATACTTACTGAAACAAGTGAATGATAAATAGGAAACAATACAGGATCCAGGACACTCTGCGCGTGTGTCCCTTGGTAAAGAAATTGTAGTAATTGATGGTCTTGCTGTGGGCCTTGGCCTTGGCCTTGGTGTCTGATATGGAGAAGATGGTGTCACTACGTTTACTGTCTATATGTATGTCAATAATTTCAATTTTCTTTTTTGCATGGGTTTTGTATTCAATATCTTACTTGCCTCAATTTAATCGTTCCATTGAGAAAGGGTTCTACCGTAAAAAAGAAATAGAATCACCTGCGGTGAGCTTTTCGTGTTGTCACAACAAATATATCCGGATTGACAAGTCGAAGTCTTCGCTATTATTGCACTTGGCCGTTCACAGAAAGCTGCCATAATGGTTAACAGGCAAAATCCGGGGCACGGTTGCAATTTTGGTTCCGGCGGTTTTGTAGTTGGTCCAATTGTCGTTGTTGTGATTGTTGTTTCCTATTCAATCGATTATGATTGAATATGGCATTGCCTTTAAAGATTATATGTACTTCTGTATAGTTTCATCTTTTTACCGTTTTTAAGAAAGCATCGATGACGCAACAAGATCCATCATCAGGACATTCAGCTTCCCCATCCACTTTATCGCACAAAAGAGCGAAGAAGCCACTAACGCATTCACCTTTACATGGCTTTCTCATCGTAATCTTTGGTCTTATCGTAGTTGTTGGTTGTTTCGTTATCATAGTAGTGGTTGCTATTGTAGTACTAGCTATGCTCGTAGAAGTAATCATATTTGGCCTCATAGTTGTAGAAGGCGAGGAACCTTTGTAAGATGTGTTGAGACCTGTCTTTTCATCGAAACGACTTGAATTGGCTCGGTCGATGACTAGTAGTTCTGGCGGAGGTGAATCTCCAAATGCATCTCTGGATACGCAACATTTGTAACCTGGCTTGCAAAGGGTATCTATTACCAAAACTGCATCGCAGTAATCAGCAATTCTTTCTGCCATACAGATTCCTGAACACGTTTTTGCTAAAGTGAAAAACAGTTGATATAATAAACACGGTAGGATCGTTGACTGCAAAATATGCAATTTTACTTGAATATGATATATACAGATAAAAGATACATACACGACGTTTTGTTCACTGCTTCTTTCTGACTTTCCTGAAAAATAAATAAAGCATATTTTAGCATATGTAAGCATTTGTAATACCAATATACAACTTCTGTGAACATACGGAAGTAGCTTTTACAGATGTTGTTGAAGGCACAGTTGTAAGTGCCGTAGTGGTCGAAGGTGTTGTTGTACTCGTGGTGGTTGTTGTCTTAACGGTAGTGATAATAGTTGAAGTAGAGTCATCGTCATGCGGAGAGACAGCATTTTCAGAAGTTCCGGTACCATTTATAGGCGCCTCAATACAACATCGCATACTAGTAGGGCATTCTACATGCTCAAGAACTTCGTAACATATTAACGTTGCAAATGCATGTACACACACACCTGGACAATCTGCACTGTTGGCTGTACTTGTTATGGAATCTAATAGACCTGAAAAAAAATAAAAATATCTATGTGATACAATTCCTGAAGTTACAAATACTTCTTCACTAATTTTTTGAAAATGCAAATAAAAGTTAATAAATAAAAGTTATTGAACATACTTGTGGATCACGCTTATAAATTAATTGGATTTTATTTCATCCTTAATTTAGGTATTAAATAAAATTGTTTAAACTGTAAAAATTCTGCTATCATGTAAATGAAAAATTTAATATTTATAAATTTATAATTCAAAATTAACGATTGTTAAATATCTTATTACGAAAATCTCTTGCGAGATATTTTTATTACAAAATTCAATGTGTGTTACAAATTGAATATTAACTATCGGGTACAGGTGCGAAGGCACGTTGAGTCAAAAGAAATTCCTGCATACGTAATCTTACGCTCCACTTATAAAATAAAATGCTCAAGCATGACTGAACTTGAACTTGACAGGTGGTAAACTTCTCAAGGAAACTAACAATCCGTTGAAACTATTCCACCACGGACAAATTTAAAAATTGACAGCAATGCTAAATGAAAAACGCAGGAATGTGGCATTTCCCTAAAATATTGAAACATTATCGTAAGAACCGCAGTAAATAGAAAATTCAAACATTAATTTAATATACGAAAGAAAGATATTGCAATTTGTAAAGAAGCATACTTCAAATGAAAGTCAATGAGAGAATAATACTATTTTTGCCGACAAGAGTAAATTTATGGTAGTGATAGAAGAGTGAGAGTATCAAGGAAGTAAAAAGAGGGACTAATTTCGAAATATTTATACCTATAAAAAACGGTGATAGATCAATGCTGGTATAATATATAGTAATATATATACTGGTAATATATGATATATATAATATGCTGGTAATATATAATATAATGGAGACATATAATAGTTTAATTTAGAGTCAAAGATCTTGAAAAACAAATTTTTTTAAAATACTGCCAACATTGGAATGAAGTAAATTTAAATTTTACCATAACACAAAATTTTGGACAAGAATTTTTGTCTGCAACTATTGAAAGACTACATTATTTATAAATATCAGATTTATAAATATCAGATCCAATATCATTGTTTGTTGCAAAAATCTTACACCATAACAAAAATACACTGTGCTAAAAAATGAAACACATAATAAATCACTTAATAAAAGTGTTACATTCTTCACTGATTAACAACTTATAGCATCCCCTGCACTATCATAGTAAGTGTTTATTAACAAAACATACAAAAGTGAAAGAAAATTATAGGTTAGAAGAAAAAAAAATAATTATAATTATCTCTTCTTGTAAAGTTACTTAATTTGCAGATTCAACGATGAAAAAATGTATAAACGATAAACAATAAAAAATGTATTTTTCACTGTGATCTGATAAATGTAGCGTATAAAATATCGTTAATCTTTACCAATGTTGTTAAACAAATAAGTTTCAAGAAATTCGCACGGCTCGTAGTGCAGACTTCTAGCTGTTTTCACTTTAGCAGGCATAACGGCCCAAACAAACATAACGGTAGTTAATTAAATGGCTTGGCTTCATCGTATGACCGTTTTTGATACTATACGTGCCTTTTCTAACGTAATTGTCTTAGATTGATGACAAGCCCACATTAATATTCCGTGTAGTGTCGTACAATTGTATCGCATTCAATTAGTGTTATACAATTACATCAACGTCAAAATCTTCTTTCGAACTTTAAAACGTTATATGAAAAATTAATTCTATATAAAATAAGGTACGTGAGAATAACCGATTGAACGAAATTAACTACTTTTTAACTTACAGATTTTTTTTTTTTTATTTCATTGGAATTTTTGAATTGTGATCATAGTTGAATCTCACAGTTTCTAGTTAAAAACATATCGATCGATCATCTTCGCGTGACAAGTGATTCTTAATTATAATGCAAGGGGATAAAATTTTAAAATTTAAAATATTCTGATGGATACGATGCCCGAAAACTGTAAGAAATGAGAGTGAGATTACTACAGGTAATCATCAGAATCAATACAATTCGTTTATCACATCGTATCATATTAAATCTATATTGATTTCGTTGATAATATATTTTAAACGTTTGGCTTATCATTATTATGATTGAATATTAAATAAACAAATTGTATTTTAACAGAATAAAAGTATCCTATTTTTAAATAACATACTACCATCTTTGTTAGAAAATTTATCATGTCGAATTCTTTTAACAATGTGAACAGAAGAAATAATAAGCACCTCTGGTACCACAAGGATCAATGAATTGGACATGGAAGAAGTTCTCCGGCTTTGATATCATTACATAAACCATTTTTTCCGAGGTATATGAAAAATGAAATTTATTGCAAGCTGCGAATGACACGGCAAAACATACAAGATCATAATATAATGCTGTGACTTAATTGACTATACACTTGGATTGATGTATAAATATCAAGATTCGTATCAAAGTACTCATTAAAAAGAAATTGACGTCCAAAGATAACGAGCTATTAAAACATGATAGATTTACTAGTTTTATTTCTCTTTTTATGAAGACATAATTAAACGATCGCTAATTACTAAATATATGTATCATGGCGTACTTTTCAAGTTCGCCAATGGCCTTCTCACCAACATTGGACTTGAGCGTCATCCGCATAGCGTTGTACAACTCCTAAGTAGGACAATCACATCCTTCCAGATACTATCTATACAAGCGTACACAGCATACATTCACGCACGCGAATTTCTATTTCTCGAAACCTCCTCTGCTACGAACTAATTTTATTTACAGCTATTTACTATATACTTTGACAAACCACTTAAATAATTAATCGAGAATTTTTTGGAATTATCCACAAGAGAGAAAGTATCAAAGGTAATTTGAGTTTTTTAATTGCAATTCTTTTTTGCTTCTTCTGGAATAATTATACATTGATTTATTCCCAAATTAAATCTTGTGTAACATTTTCTATAACAAATAATACAATTCTATGCGAAAGTAACGAAAAGAAGATAGATCGAATAAATAAAAAATTTTTAAATTCATTGTAAGAAAAAACATAGAAAATTTAATGAATCAAAAAAGAGAAATAATTTTATAAATAAAATATAGAGAGAAAATTTAGAAATAAACTAATATTTAATCAGATATTCCTTATTATTTATTATTTGTAGATCATACATCAAACTATATATGTGTATATCTGTACTACTATGTATGAGTATATCTGTATTACTATGGTGTGTGTATGATGTACTACCTTATCTTATTTTTATTTATGAAATATGTATATAAAACAAATTACATTATACGTTTTGTTTATTTATTTTATCAATATTAATAATATTATACAAAATATATATTATAATAATGTAGTTTATCTATTTCATGTTTACAATAATTCTCCAATTTCTCTTCATTTTAATAGAAGTAAAGTCAACGTAGGAGGAAAAGAACGGAAAATTTTAAGAACGCGTATAAAAATTTAAAAGCCACGTAAGAGTAAAAACAATTATTTAAAATTCTCAAAATGTTAAAATTTATTATTGCAGTAATTCCAAACGAAGAGAAATAATTGATTTACCTGACAAAAAACTGCCAGCCAAAGAATCGTCATCCTGAGCAGCAATCGATCCGCTAAGTAGGAGAAAAAGGACGATGCCCCCAGGGACTGTTCTCAGTATCATCTTCGCTTTCCTCATTCTCTTTCTCTCTCTCTCTCTTTTCTCCTTCTTTTTCTTTCTTTCCCGCTTCTTTTTCTTCAATTTAAAAAGGTAACCGCAAAAACAGTTAAAGGAAGACACACTGTGTCGTTACCCGGTTCGAACACGTGCGTGTCAAACTACTTTACCGCGAGTTCGGCAGCCACGGTATTATGTGGGCCCGCATTGCCTGTTAGACTTGTTTGACTGACTGACTGACTGACTGAGGAGGTACCGGGGCCCACTTGTGGGTCAGGGTGCGGGTCCCCTCTTTTGCACCAGTCGGAAAAAGGAGAGAAAAGAACGAAGGCGGAGAAATAGAGAGAACGATCGTCGACGACCTCACTAAGAATTACGCAAAAAGAGGGGGAAGGGTTGTTGGCATTAAAATCAGACACTTTTGAAAATTTGCAACTTTCCGTCATTATTAAAAGCTTTTATTTTTACTAATTGCGACTATAAAGTAACGATAAGTTAATAAGATATCGGATAAAAGAAAATGATCAATCAAAATTTGAATAAAAAATAAACAGAACTTTATAATTTATTACATGATAACAAATAACTAATTTCTAACCATTCTCTAACATGTTTTAATAGTTACAAATTTGAAGCATATATTCAACATTACCAAACGTCATATGTACGTAAAATTAATAATTTTATTATTAATTTATTAGTCATTTAATTTCACTATTTTGACAACAGCTTAACTTAAAAATTTTGAGTCGATATATATTTATAAATTTCATAAAAAATGAAATGTTTATTTTATTAATAATATATATTATTAATAAAATTAGTAACTTAAAATGTTATTAATACAAAACGCGTTCTAACATACGTAAATCATCCCTAAACTTAAAACGATTGCTGTATTCATTTTTGTTTCATTACAGTTAATTACTATTTTATATTTTTAACTTATATATTAACTTAATTTGTTACTTTTTATTTATATTTGATTTTTCTTATTATATAATCTCAACTATATTAGAATATTTCTTTTTTCTATTTTTCATGTTCACACTGTCCTTCCTCTTTACCTCTCTCTCGCTCCCATCCAACTTTTTTCTTCCATTCCCTCTTTCTCATCGCATGTATATGTAAGTATATGTGCACGACTAGCGGTACTTTACCCGTAAATGTACAGGATACCGTACGATATTTCCCTTTGGAATTTATCGTTCTTTGCGCAACGGTCAATTCTTCGTAATCATAGTACGATATTAACATATGTCTGCTTAAAAAATCCAACTAAAAAGATGAATATTTCTTTAAAATTTTATTACTCATTTCAATCGAAGTGTCATTAAGTATAAAAACTACTAAACTAATATGTTTACGTAATAAACAATATAAAATATAAAATGGCATTGCACCAGTTAATAGCACTTATTTATAATATTAATTTTTATAGAACAATTAAAATCACAAAACATGTTTAATTAAAATAATTAAAATAATTAAACTTAAATAAGTAAACCTAATTGCGATGGATCAACTAATGTAAATTTTTCTATACATTCAATTAGCCATATGAGCGGGAGTGTCTTTATATGTGGCATATTATATTTTACAATCGGTTCATCTTTTTCTGGTTTATATATGATATAATGTGTACACTTATATAAAGGATGAGTAGGTTCACTTGCAATATGAAAAGGAATAAACTGTTCTTTGTTTTTTATATCTTCTGGATTTGGTTCTCTTTTTAAAACTGTTCCACCACCTTCTTGTATTAATGCCAATAATGCATCTTTTGTTAATTGCATATTATTTATATAAACATTCTTTGATTGCCACGCAAAATAAAAGTAACATTGATTAAAGAGACCCGGATTCTAAAAGGATAATCAAAAATGTTCAATAAATTATTTAATTTTCTGATACAATTAATTTCACCTAATTGTAATTAATTTTACCTGATTTCGTGCACTTTCTCTAGCTTTTTTTGGAATACCTTTAATTGGTGCACCACTAACTTCAAATATTTCTAAATCTTCTTTCAATATATCACCTATATCCATACCTAACTGAATCCCTTTTATATAACACAAAATATTATAAAAATTTGTTTTTTAATAACTATATACAAGTTATCAATTTATAAATAAACTTACATTCAGTATTAAGTAACCAGGTTCCACGTAAAAGTGCCATCATTACATCATATGATAGTTGTACAACATTTGCATTATTGGCTTCTACTATAACATGAGTCACAGATAATCTACAATATAAATTATATGTAATATTTATAATTTTTTACATTTAATTTTTGACATAATTAATGTGCTAAAAAAACATCAACAACATACTGAAATGTAGATACAACTTTAATTTTATTCTTTGAAGCTATTTCATTCAGGTATTTTTTATTCTCTTCTTTCAAATTTGATGCATATATAACAACAGTATCAAATGTCCTTGTTGTGGTAAACGATTTATTCAAAGTATGATTAAGATCTTGTTTGGACGCATTGTCCAATTCATTTTTATCTTTCAAAATATTCCACATCTCACTATATGGTATACAATAATCTCTAAAATACGATATGAAGTAATGTAAAATTATAACATAAAGAGGAGTTTACATGTAATAAAATATTACAATTTTAACAACTTTAACAACTTTAAACTTTTATATGTTTATATATATTAACATTCAATATTATCTTTAATAGTTCAATAAACCAATATTAATTAATACATACATAGGCTTTTTTCCAGAATTATCATATACATCTTTACTAGCTGAATATTTTAACAGTAGTTTTGCTTCTGATAATCTATTTTCTTTAGCAGCTTCATGTAATGCTGTTCTATTTCCTTCGCCAGGTGTATTTGGTAATGCACCACATTCTAATAATAACCGACATATGTTGGTATGACCAAAGCTTACAACTTCTTGCTATGCAAATCATATTTATGATATACACAACTTAAGTATAATTTAATTTTATTTTACAATAAAATAATTACCAAAGGAGTCCAACCAGAATAATCCTTTGTATTTGGATTTGCACCAGCAGCTAATAGAGCTTTTATGTAATCTTCTTGAATTTCCCCCTAAATTTTGTTTAAATTTAGTTGTATTTTGATAGATTTTACATAGATTTAGTTGTATTTTTTACTTTTTAATTACTCAATTATCCAATATATATTCTGACTATTTACCTTTAAACACGCAATATGTAATTGTGTTTCTCCTTTATTGTTTAATTTATTTATGTTTTTCTTTGGTATATGATATTTTGTACATGGTGTAGAAGTATTTTTTGTCATTGTAGATAATTGTATTGCATTTGAATTCCTGGCTGAATTCCATAAATCTCTATTAAATTTAAATTTAATTTATAAAATGTAACTTACAATAAAGTTTTGTAAGATTAAATATATTTATTCATATGTTTAATATGATTTGAATATACTTTAAATAATGCGAGTGTTAAAATATGTTCTTATAATACCTTTCCTGTATTATTTCTGCAATAACATTACAATGAGACACAAGACTCTCAATTAAATGATCACTACATGTTTCAATTGGTTGTACAGGTGTTTTACAAATTTTACAAATTGAATCGCTGCTAGCACATTGTTTGCAAAAAAAGTGACCACAATTAGTGTATCTCGTTGCATTTATTGGTTTATTTCCACTAAAACAAAGAAAAAATAAAGAAAATTATACGTATGTAAATATATTTAAAAAAATGCTAGTTAAAAGTTATATTAATTTCGAGATATATTTTTAATTGTAATATTAAATTAAATTAAATTTTAATACTGTCAAAATTGTGAATTCAAATTTTTTTTTCATTCATTAAAGAAATTCATTAAAGAATAAAATTCAAAGATAAAATGCACATGAATAATATGCGCACACGCATGCAAGAAAATCTAAAAAATATAAATTTTTCTCAATTAATATATTATATATTACTCAACATATTATATTACCATTTGTTACACTTCAATACATTCGCAAAATTTTTTAAAGCGTAACGAGTGTTCTTCCACGAAGTATTCATTTTCAATTACTATTATTCAATACATTCCAAAAATTTACTATTTCTTTTCCATGCATTAATATTTAACCATATTTCATTCAATTACATTTTCACGATAATATATTGAACCATATAACATTTTTTTCACAATAATACATTGATTGTGATTTTGATTTTGTTGTTTCAATCATATGTTTTCTTTCAGTCTATGGTTTTCTAAACACTAAAAACTTTTGTTTGTTGAAACGAGGCTGAGATTGAAATATAAAAGTTCAAAAACCATAACAGAAATTGGATGTTTCCCGTTAATTTTACTTTTAAGCATGCACCGTGTGAATCACCCTTAGGATAGGTACCGAAACTAATTTATATTGTTATCCTTGTCGCACACTATCGTTCTCCTTGTCTACCGTGCGAACATGTCTGTCCTTGTCCCACACTAATGCTCTCCTTGTCTAATGACGCTAGACAAGGAAAGCAACAGTGTGCGACAAGGACATCCTTCGATCTATTGAAAAAATAATTCAACTTTTTACACACACGTTTTTCTAGGACAAAACGCACATAGAAAAAAAGCGGGGTGCCTAATTTTAAGGACGCCTATAAAAAAGTTCGCAAATTATTCCTCCTAATCAGGTTTTTTCGTAATTATTGCGAACTGTCACAAAATGGACATGGTGGCGCCATCTAGCGGTAACTCAGTGGTACTAATTATTTATAAAAATACTTATTTTTGCATTTTACGGATCAAATAGGATATGAAAAGAAAGCTAAGGGTCTAATTAGGATAATAAAATCGCCAAAATTCACAATTCAATTCGCTAAATTAGGTTTCTTCGCAAATGAAAATTTCTCTGTTTTACGGGGTAAGAAACACTAGCGCCGCTTTGTGGCGACTGTGGCGACATCTATTGATCAGTCGGTGGTACTAAAAGTAGAAAATTCTGTTTTTAGTACAACCGAATTATCAATAGATGGCGCCACCATTATTTGTAAACATTGACAAGTGACAGTTTTTCCACAAATTACGAGAAGAAATTAATTAATAGAAATCATTTGTGAACTGCTATGGTTGCGTCTTCGATTTTAGAGACCCTAACCTTGTGTTTTATGTTTTGTTTAAGTATATTTCTGTCCTCGTCCCACGCTAATTCTCTCCTTGTCTAATGACGCTAGACAAGAAAAGCGATAGTGTGCGACAAGGACATTCTTCGATCTATTGAAAAAAGAATTGAAAAAATCTATTGAAAAAAAAGCCTAACAAATAAATAATGTAAGTTTGTAGCTATACAATAGAACAGAGATAGTAATTCAGCCGAAATGGAGATAATTCAACACACAATTGAAATTTTTTCGTTCAAAGATTTGTTTCGAGAAATTTTAATGTGAAAATTTATCAAATGTGTTTTAATTTGGCTAATTTTGAACTAGAAAAGCTTAAATAATTCTCAGGAAATGATTTATAATTATATTTATAAACTATAATTACAGTATTTGAAGAATATATTAAATTACAAAACGCTAATTTCTCTAAAAGACAGAAAAATATCAATTGATGGTTTTAAAAAAGCTATCAGTAACTAGGTATTTTAATTATTTAAGGGTAATTATTTGCAAAATATATCATTTTTATTTAAATTTGCAAAAACGGTGATATATGATACAATGTAATGTGATGATCAGCATATATGTACATAACAATATACATATATATGTACAACATATAATTATAGTAACTGTCAAAATATATATACATGATGAAAAGCGGAAATAAATTTTTATAAAGAACTTATTGTAACAACGAAAATATTTTGTATTAATTAGTATACACGTGTCATATTAATTATTTTATACATAATACTTAATCACAAAATAGATATACAATACTACAAACATTTAATATTTATATAACTCCTAGATTTTTTCTCCAAATCTGTTTAACATGCAATTTATGCATGTTTGCATGTTTTAACAATATTTTACAAAAAAATATAATAATATATTGACAGATGCTTTTTATTCGAAATTATAATTTTTACGATTAATAACCTTCATTTAACAAAATTTATTATCTAGCAGAAAATGAAATAATTTGTCAACAAAAAATTATTAAACTTGAGAAAAAAGAGAAATAAAACACAAATATAATTATAAATTTCAAAATTTCTTTTTTATAAATCTCGATTAATTTGTCTACAATTGTCACAAAAAATTCTTTCACATCTTGTACCACATAATGTTGAATAATTGTCTCATTTTAAATTGTTATTTATGTTTGTTTCGATTAAATAATTTTTCTATTATGCACTATGTTTTTTATTTGATAATTATAGTGTAATTATATTTAAAAATCATATGCCCACATTGATGGATCCTTAGTAAAATTAGAAGTTATTTAGAAGTTACATTTTACTAAAATTTGTAATAATTAAGTAATCTAGGATGACTATAAGTTTGTAAAATGACTAAACAGAAAAACTTTCTCCACATCCACAAGTTCCTTTGATATTTGGATTATTAAAAATAAATTCAGAACTTAATTTAGTTTCTACATAATCCATTTCTGTACCCAACAAAGATAACTGTGCCTTTTTGTCTATCATAATGCAAACACCATCTTGAATAACCTCCTCGTCAAGTTTAGATTTTTCTTTGGCATAATCAAGGGTGTAACTGAGGCCATTACACCCACGCTGTTTTACACTCACTCTTAGACCAATCTGAAATAGGAATAGGAAATAATGTTTATATTTACTTTTAAAATTAATACAACACGCATAATATAAATTTGTCTTTAAAAAAATGACTGGTATTAAAAATGATTTGAAAAAAAAAACACAAATGGAGATATTAAATTATTTACTTACAAAATCAGTTTTATCTTTTAATAATTCTTTAACCTTTTTCACTGCATTTGGTGTCTGAAATAAGATAATTAATAGTAATTAATAATAAAATAAAAATCTATAATATCTCTATTTATTTTAAGAAAGCAAATATATAAACAAAAGGATGTTCCAAAGATATTTTTAAAATTAAAAAATAAGTATTTCATTAAATGTTTACATTGATTATATAATTTGGAATGTATACATATAAAAAAAATCATTCCTGCTTACACATATATTATTTAACAATGATAATATCATTTAATATTTGCATTTAATAAATTTAACATAGTTTCATTATTTTAGAAAAAGAAACTAATAACAGTTCTTATATTGTTAATTTCTCTTTCCATTTAATATAAATATTTAATCACTGCAAAGTAAATTATAAATAATCTATATTACAACCTTATATATAATACATATATTATATATTATAATAATACATTGTAACTAATTATAATTGTAATACATTGTAACTATTTATATATGTAATATTATTATTATTAATGTAATAATAGTTATTATTAATTAATAATAATAATTATTAATCGTTAATCATTAAAATATTTTGGTTTTATATTTGTATTAATATTTATATTCATGTCATACATTGTGTAGTTATATTTAACTTTAAATAGTAATTCAAAGTTAAATTATGACTAATTTAATATATATTATATAAAGTTCTTAAAAAATATATAAAGGTATAAAAATATATATATATATGTGCATAAAATGTATAAAAATCTAATGTCATGAAAACTGCTATTAAAATAAATAAATGCTCAATATATTACTATAAAACTAATAAAATTAGTTTTGAACGTAAGAATTACATGTCAATATTAACATAGATTGAAAATTTAACCTTCATCTTTCAATGTTAAAAATATATATACATTTATGAAAGTAAATGCCCAGTATATTGTTATAAAATTAATAAAATTAGTTTTGAACGTAAGAATTACATGTCAATATTAATATAGATTGAAAACTTAACCTTTATCTTTCAATGTTAAAAATATATATACATTTACAGTGTTATTAACTAATATCAGGCACCAATAATCCAAAATTATTACATATTTATATATATATATATTAATTATTCACTTACTAATGTAAGCGCAGCTCGCGTCGCAAGTATTTTTCTTCCTTTGACAGCTCGAACAGTTGCTGCAGCAACCACGGAAGAAGCCATATTGATCTCTTACGCCAATGCATCTGCATGTGAAATAACAAGCATGAATATGAACCTTATAGATCATTTACTTAAAAAAATATATGTATTTAATGTCATTACTGTGACGTGCTTTTTGGATTTATTAACTAGAAATATAAAATAAATTTTCTAAAATTATTAATAAATATTAAATTTCTATAAATATCAAATTTAAATAAAAAAATAAAAATAAGATACAGATGATGCATATAAGTCAGTACTAAGAAGAAGATAAACTTTAATTGATAATAAATAACAGGCAACATCTGTGGCCATCTATATAGGCAACGTATTTTCGGCTGTAATATTATTGGTTGATATGATTAAATTTGTTGTTCAATTGCATTACTTGATGATTAGAACGAATAGAAATCTCTCTTGCCTTTATATCATATTATTTTCTTTCTAACAGTTAAAACACTTCTTTCTAACATTTCAAAATACATTCTGGCTACATTAATCAATTTACATATTAATCATTTACAGCTGGCTACATTAATCAATTTCAGAATTTGAAATGTATGGTGAAATAATGATGTTACGAGCACTATAGTATATTTTGTCCCCAACCAATTATTATTTTTTAACATTATCAAATAAATTTAACAATATAATAAAAAAGATTATTAATGAATTTATCAATAAACATAATAATGAAATTAAGGTTATTTGCAACTTCTTAAACTAAAATTTATATACTATATAATTAGTATTAAATTAAAATAAAATTATATTATCAATTAGTATTTTATCACGAAAGTTTTGCTTATTATAATCGAAGGAAACAGAAAAAATTAAATAAGAATAATACTTAGGTAATTGATGAAAAGTTTAATTTTAAATTGAACAAAATGAAATTTGACTATATAAAATCATATATAATAAAATACATAAATACTTTATGTTAATGTGAAATTAATTCAAAAAGGTTTTTAGAATTGGATGATGAACAGCTGAATTATAAATTGTTTATTATACCAATTTTCATTCTTCTTACAATATGTAATCATACAAATTAGTGATTTTAATCCAAAAAGATATTAATCCAGAAAAATTTAAGATTTAAAACTGTTAACTTTGAAATGCATCATTGACTGGTTCGTCGTCATCATCATCTTCTTCTCCTTCACTTTCAAATGTGTTATCCGGAATATCGTATAATCTTATCATTGGTTTATTTGGATCTTTCATAATTAAATATTTTCCATCTTTCTGCTTCATACAAATGTCGATAATACATCGTAAAATACCCCATGCATTATCCATATTAAGATTAATTTGTGTTGCAAATTCATTTGGCTTATATTGCTGTGTACCAAGAATGACATGTTTACTGGAATCTCTAACCATTGCTCTAGAGACATAACCAAATTTCAATTGATCTGAGCCTGCTAATAATGCTTGGACAGTCCACTTAGCTAATTTACAAGCATTATTGCGCAATTCATTCGCTAATACTGCACCACGCTGTGTGTCTAATTTTTGCCTCCATTCAACACCGTTGGCTAACTTTGAATCCCATTCATTTAAAGCTTTAATTGTTAAAAATTGAGTTTCATTGTTGGGACCCTGCATTACAGCATCATGTTCGCATCTTGCAACAAGAACAATTCCATTATTTAAATCCCATTTTCTATACCGATATGCAACACTAGCAACATCACCTTCTTCTTCTTCTGAAATAAATGGATTTCCTTCCTCAAATTTGTATCTAGGTTCATTGGATTTCAATACTTGTTGAGAAAAGTTGTGATTAATGAATGTAGCTTCTAATGCTAAGTTTCTCGGAGAATTTAAAGAATTGCCATCATCTTGAGGAGGCTCAACGCTGGTTTCATTTACAGTTAATAAATCAAATTCAGTATTATCTCGTTTATCAAAGAATAGCTTGTCTCCAATTTTTTCAATTACAATGTCCCAAGAGTAATTGCTACGAGTACAACACATTATTGTTGCTAAGATTGCGTCTGTAGCATAAACATTTCCTTCTGTCTTTGAAAGCTTACGAACTATTGGATCATCAGTAGTAGTAACTGTATGGAAAATTCTATCAATTCTTTGCAATGGCTTTTCACTTTTGACATTCACTCTGTCATAAGTTTTATCATAATATTCAAGAGATCCACAACATAAAATATCTTCCCCATCTTTTACACCAGGTAAAGATAGTTTTGCTAAACGTGGAAAATCCATTTCTTCAATTGTTACCCAATCGGGTCTTACAGTAACAGATGCATCGCGAATTTTAATTGGCGGTTGATTTTTATGATTGCGTAGACCTTGTTGTCTACCCCAACGTTTTGCTTGCCCTTTGCGATCTCTTTCGCGAAGTTTTAATTTACCAAGTTGTTGCATTTGGCTCAACGAACCACGTTGGCTTCCACGACCGCGTAAGTTCCTTTGGTTATGACGGAATCTACCACCACGTTGATAAGGTGGCTTTTGTACACGGGTAGTATCAACCAAATGGAAAGTTGTTTCATCTTCATCATGATAGTATGCATATTGGCTACCTGAACCAAACTGCGATGTATATTTGTCTGTAAAAAATGAAGGACTTCTTTATTAAACAAGTATATAATTAGATAGGTATATAAACAACACTTTCATAAATAACAAAATAATATATATAAATTTTGTTTGCATTATTTTTGGACAAATTAAGATGATCTTCAATTTTTTTAATAGTATAATTATCAATATCATTATGTTGAAATAAAATGTAAACTAAGAAACCTATTTTCCAAGGACATAATATTACATGTAACATATATAACTTTCATAATTCTTTTAGCTTATATCATATAATAACATATATGTCAAACATTCTTTAGATTTCTTTATATGTAATATATTTTCATTATTTATTATTATTCTTATGTTTATATTTATTAAGTTAACATGTTTATGTTCAATTAAGTTAACATATTTTCATTTATGATTATAAAGTAATTTGTAAAAAATATTCAAAATAATTTATGAATAAATTAATATAATTGTCACATAATCTTTAAATGCATTAATTCATGAACTATAAAATTTATTATCAAAACTTACTAGAATCAAACGTAAAAAATTATAAATTATTAACATAAAAAATTACTTTATATTAATTTATTTACATTAATCTATGATGTTTACAATATTGTTTTAATTAAGATATTCCTAACTTACAAACTAATTAAAATACAATCATTTGCATTCATATTACCTCTAACAAATAATCCCACATTAGATAGAAATGTATAGGTTAATTAAATGGAGTAGATCAAAAAAATAATACTTACTAGGAAATTTCTTATCTTGGAAAGCTGGTGTAGTCCAATCAGATATCTACATAAAAAAAAAAATGTGCATATGTAAAAAATTTTCATAAATGAGGAAAACTGAAACCAGATTTAATGACGAACCTTCCCCAATCTATCCCCTTTTGAAAATGGTTGATAGGGTATGTCCTTAAATTGGTCAGGTAATTCACATGGTCCCCAACCATCGGGATTATGCTGAATTGCAGGAGCTTGAAAATGAGCTATCTCTTCCTCCCTATGAACAGCATCTTCTAGGACAACCACGTCGTCCGTCATTCTGTACCTTCAATACGAAAGACGTGGGACACAATGGCACAACCTACTTGCCGGAAAGACCGGCGACGCCATGATGCTTTTTCTAATAAAGCTTCATTCATACTATATAGTGATGTCTGTATCCTAGTAGCTTAAAATTTTTTATTGATGACACATATAAATTGTTTATAAACTGCTTATATACTGTTTATATTCGAGTCACTTTTGTCACTTTTGCATCAAAGCCAAAAAAAAAAGAAACATAAAAAAAAATCACAATCCAAATATGATTGTTCTTCTATTCTGCACCCACGTTTACTTAGCGCAACGTTCCAATCTAAACTCTTTTCTCATTAAAATCTTACTGATACATTGGAAAATTTGCCTGAGACATTTTTTTCTTCTTTTTTCTCTCTTTTCATTTTAATTTTGATTTTATCATTGAAAATCAGTGCCGTACTGTCGTTTGGAAACTACCATTAAATGTGAAGCCACGTGACCTTGCAAACGACCTCTAATTTGGTATTCGTATCATCCGTTTCTGGTCGTGTTTCACGATAACCCCTACATCATTGACACGTTCGGTACACGTTCATTGCCCATTGTCTAAGTAAAAAAGCCAGTGTAACGTCGAATTTCTTACGACTTGCTACTAAAACTGGTAGTAAAAGATCCACGAATCATCCGAGATATGATACGAACGACAACAAGTCTACGTAATGAATTGGCACACGCAATACTACGAAGTTCTGTGCGGACGAATACCGTAAGATCGGTGGTCATACGATGTCTTCACAGAAAATATTTACAGAGGTATCTCATTTTTTGTTACTGTCATCTTCGCCTATCGCTCCATGTATTGTCATCCTCTGACTAAGATTTATTTCGTCAATTGTGATTAAAGTTATCTTAATAAATATTCATTCTTTCTTTTAATTTTGCTTGAAAGTTTTACTTCCACCTGTTATCACCGAGTATAATCAAAACCGTATTTGTAACTGATTTCTAGAATGATTTTTCTGTCTTTTTTCTGTGTTTATTATATTTAATTTCTATTCATTCAAAATATTTAATAACATAGATTGACATTTATATTATATAAATATGAGACTACTATTTACTAATTTTTTAAAATTTAGGATTCAAGTTCATAATAGCTTACGTTTTATGGTAACTCCATGGAAACAACAGTTGAGATACTATGCAGATTATCCAGATCATGTCAAAGTACAACTGCCAGCATTGTCACCAACTATGGAAACAGGCACAATTGTCAGTTGGCACAAGAAAGAAGGTAATATAAATAATTCACGATATCTAATAAGATCATTATTGATTTTTAACTTTACTTTATTGTTATTTTAGGTGATAAGTTGAATGAAGGTGATTTACTTGCTGAAATTGAAACTGATAAAGCAACAATGGGTTTTGAAACACCAGAAGAGGGCTATTTGGCAAAAATTATAGTACCAGCAGGAACAAAAAATGTTGCTATAGGCAAACTAGTTTGTATAATTGTCTCAGATGAAGCATCTGTTACTGTCTTCAAAGATTTTAAGGATGATGCTCCAGCTTCCCCTGCACCAAGTGCTCCTACTCCGGCCACTCCTCCACCATCTCCTGTAACACCGCCAGCACCTGCAGCACCTACAGCACCTTCTGCCCCAAAACCACTGCCTACGACACCAGGAGAGAGAATATATGCTAGCCCATTGGCTAAAAGGCTTGCAGCTGAGAAAGGCCTTAGTCTGCAAGTAAGTTTTAGATTATATAAAATTAAAGAATGTGGAATAATTGTATTCTTTTCTTAAAGGGTCTAATAGGTTCAGGATTATATGGAGCCATAACGTCCAAAGATTTAGCAGGTGCATCAGTTGCAGTTTCTCAACCTGCAATAACAGCTACAGGTGTACCAGGAGTAGATGTTCCTGTATCCAATATCCGCGCAGTAATTGCGAAACGTTTATTGGAAAGTAAACAAACAATTCCACATTATTATTTATCAATAGATGTAAAAATGGACGCCGCTCTTGAAATGCGAGAACAGTTTAATAAAATGCTAGAGAAAGACAAAATAAAACTTAGTGTAAACGATATTATTATCAAAGGAATGGCGATGGCTTGTAAAAAAGTACCTGAAGGTAACAGTGCATGGTTGGGAGAAATTATTAGGCAGTAAGTAATAAACATATTGTGTGTCCATTTGAAAATTTTTAATTCAAATATCTTGGAAACAATGTTTTTTGGAAGAAAATGTTTAATACAAAAGTTTTGAGGAAGAAGTTACAACTGTTACTTGCTTTTTATTTGTTAAGTTATAATCTTAATTAATTAAATTATAATCTTAAAGGTCAATTTTCTTTTTTTAAATGAAAAGATATATTTTTCTTTGCAGATTCTTATTTTGTAGTAAAAAAGAGAAAACTTGTATGAAACATTTTTCGGATATATCCTTAAAGAAATATTTATTAGAAATTTATTTTTTACAGTTTACAGTTATTTTTACAGTTTTACACTTATTTTTTACAGTTATAGAAAACAGAAAAATGAACAAAACTTATTTAATTTTTCTGGTCATTTTTAAAATGATAAAGTGAAAATGATACAATCGTTATTAAAAGAGATTTTCAAAATGTTCTTCATCTTATGCTAGGTAATGGTACAATCTTAGGAAAGTAAGAATAAAATTTGAGCAGAAATTGTACCATCGTCTAACACAAAATGGAGAATATTCTGAAAATCTTTTTTAAGGATTGTGCAACACCATTCTGATTAATTATGTAATAAAAAAATAAGGTAAAAAAATATAATAGTTGTACTAAATGTACTTGTGTACTCACCGCAACTGTAAAACATTTTTGACGAAAAAGTGTTGTTTCCGATATATTTGGAAATTTTTAAATGAACACATTGTATAATAAACAATTATAATAAACAATTACTACCAGTAGCAGAAATAATAATCGCATGGGTTAAATTTCTTTTCTTTTTTTTTCAGATACAATAATGTTGATGTAAGTGTAGCAGTGAGTACAGAAAGTGGCCTAATTACTCCGATAGTTTTTAGTGCAGACACAAAAGGTATAGTTCAAATCAGCAAGGATATAAAAGCATTAGCTACAAAAGCAAGAGAAGGAAAATTGCAACCGCAAGAGTTCCAAGGAGGAACTATTACTTTATCGAATTTAGGAATGTTTGGCATTAAGAACTTTTCTGCTATTATAAATCCTCCTCAATCAATCATTCTAGCTGTAGGCACAACTGAAACTAGGTTAATACCTGCCAAGAATGAAAAAGGGTAAATGTCTCTTCTATATTCTCTTTATTTAATATTTTTCTCATTTCATTACTTGCTAACTTTTTTTAGATTCACAATTTCCCAATTTATGTCCGTCACTGCCAGCTGTGATCATCGTACCGTAGACGGTGCAGTAGGCGCACAATGGCTATCAGCTTTTAAGAATTTCATTGAAAATCCAACAACTATGCTGTTGTAGTAAATTCAACCATTGAAATGTTCAGTGGGGTAGTTTGGACAGGTGCAAATTATATGAAAAAAAAACATTTTCTCATTCAGATAACTGACCAAAACTTTTGGTCCAAAAGTATTCTGTATATTTATGTATAATACAACATCAAATTTACTTTACGCATTTGTAAATCATCAATTTTCGATGAATTCAAATTTTTCAAAGGTATATTTTATCTCTTTTAATATCAAAAATATCATTAGGGCAGGAGAATTTGACATTTTTCCTAATTTACTATATACAGGATGTCTCACTTGATTTTTATTTACTTGGGATTTATTTAAAAAAATGAAATTGAATGATATATTTGAATCTTACTAGTTTTTTCGTGAGTAGATACGTAAAAGTTGTATGAAGATCTATTTTATTTTTTTTTTTTAATGAAACTATATTTTTTAATGCATACGAATAATAACTTTGTAAATCAAAATGTCAAAATCAAACGAGACGTCCTATATATATATATATATATGCGTGTGGTTTTTCAGTGAATATAAAGTATAAGACTGACTATTTATTTCACTACTAAAAGAAATAACAATCTCATTACTTTATTATTGAAAAACCACATCTTCCCCATAGCAATAGTAGTGGCCACGTGTAAATATGTGTATTTATGAAATAATATTATGGCCATCATATATTGCAATAATTCAATTGAAACTTAGGGGAAATTGTTAAGCGAAATGTGTCAAAATGTTTATAGTAAATAATATACACAAATGTGTATCATATTTAATAAATTCTAATTTAAAGGTTTAATATTGTTCTTATTTTTAAACTTACGTTATATGTAGATATGCAAAATAGTATCTATAATAAAATTATCGTGTAATAATAGTCATATTGATTACATAGTGATCAATTTTTGAAACACAGACAAAGCGCGATATTCGATCATAATGATTGAATTGTCATTCACAATTACCAAATCATAGAGACAAGATGACGTTGTATTGTTCTTAAAACCACTACTTTCCTCAGATGGAAAAGATAACGTCTTCTGGCCATTGTCAGATTAGACAAACATAGTTTATCTCCGCGTGGGGGAATTTGCCGGTAGAAAGTAGGTAGAGTGGTAGTGGGAATATTGTGACGTCACTTATGCTTACGATCTGACAATTCTGCTGCCATTTAGTAAACTTACGTTCTTGTCTGTCATAGTTTGTTTGCAAAGGATCGTACATTTTATAATTAAAATTATTCATTATGCCGATTTTAGATAAACGTAAAGGAGATGATATTTTAGCATTAGTTCCTGCCTCAAAACGTACAAAAAATGAGGTGGTGTTTAGCAGTAGAGAGAAAGCTGTTGTACAAAACGTAAACTAAACTTAACCTTATTCTTATATTTATTGAATGTAGCTTTGAAATAAAAGTTATATTATTGTTTTTCAGGGTCCACCTAGAACATCTTCTTTGTTTGCACCTATTATGTTGCTTGAAGGACATCAAGGGGATATATTTTCTCTTGAATTTCATCCAGAGGGTCAATATCTTGCTTCGTCAGGCTTTGACAGACAAATTTGTATGTTATCAATCATTTGAAATATTTTGGACATATTACATATTTTTATATTTTATATATTACATATTTTTTTATATTTTCAGTTATTTGGAATGTTTACGGAGAATGTGAAAATATTTCTGTATTAACTGGACATAGTGGAGCAGTCATGGAATTACATTTTAGTCCAGATGGAAATCATTTATATACAGCAAGTACAGATATGACATTAGGTTTATGGGACATAGTTGCTGGAACTAGAATAAAAAAACTTAAAGGACATACTTCCTTTGTAAACTCTGTGTCTGGAGCAAGAAGAGGTATTACACAACTTTGTTCAGGTAGTGATGATAGTACAATACGTGTTTGGGATCCTAGAAAAAGAGGACAGTGTTATACACTAAACAATACATATCAGGTAATATTGTTTTCATAATAGTTTCTAATTTTTTATTTATAAAGTTTTAACATTCTTCCCTTCCCCCCCTCTCTCTCTCTCTGTTTCTGTCTTTTTAAATTTAGGTTACTGCTGTAACATTTAACGATACAGCAGAACAAGTAATAAGTGGAGGAATAGACAATGATATAAAAGTATGGGATTTAAGAAAAAATTCTATTCTTTATAAACTAAAAGGACATTCTGATAGTATAACTGGATTAAGTCTTAGTCCAGATGGTTCATATATATTATCTAATGCTATAGACAATACATTAAGAATTTGGGATGTGAGACCATTTGCTCCTTATGAACGTTGTGTAAAAATTCTTTCTGGGCATCAGCATAACTTTGAGAAAGTAAGTGGATATATCAGCATAATTTTGGAAGACAGTATGTGTATTATTGAGATTTTATAATTTTATTTATTTAAATAATTATTTATTTATTTAAATAATTGCAGAATCTCCTGAGATGTGCATGGTCCCCAGATGGTAGTAAAGTATCAGCTGGATCATCAGATAGATTTCACTATATTTGGGATACTACAAGTCGTAGAATATTGTATAAATTACCTGGCCATAATGGTTCTGTTAATGATATTGACTTTCATCCAAAGGAACCAATTGGTAATACATATAAAACAAACGTTGTAATCTGTTGTAATATAAAATATTATAATATTTTAAATATGTTTGCTTATTTTCAGTTTGCTCTGGCTCCAGTGATAAACAAATATATCTGGGAGAAATTGAAACTGCACAATAAGCAAATTAAAATTGCACTTAAATTTGAATACTTGTATACAATAAAATCTGTAATATTGAAATAATATTAATTCAAAAAATCATTTTATATCCTCATTTTCATCCTTTTATATGTCAATTTTATTATTAAAAAAAATTTTTTTAATTTGGTCAGTGGATAAAAAATGTTAAAAATAAAAGAAAATATAATTGTAAAGAATACTAGAAATTATAAACATAAAATTTTAACTGAATGTATTACGTAACTATTAGATTTCAAATTCAATTTAAATCTACTTGTGTCAAACGCTTATCGATCTTCTACACCTCGTCTTAACTTCACGTGATATATTTTGATACACTGACATTTTTAACTCTTCATTCGTTTATCTTTTATCGTCTTCCATATTTTTAATTATTCTAGTTGTAAGGTAAGTACATATTTTCTTCTTAATTTTCTTGTAAAAATATCATAAATTGTCAAAATATTTATTTTACGATACTACTTACATCAAGCAGATGTATTGCAAAATATTGAGAAAGACTACTACGACACGATTATTTTTATGTATTAATTATAATGAAGAAAATAGTATTAATCATGAAGATCATTACAAAATTCATTTCAGTAAAATGATAAAAAAAGTTTAACATATTTTGTTTTATATTTTATAAATAATTTTTTATTTTAATCAACTTAACCTTACCATATACTCTATTAATAAAAAAATATGCGTGACACATTTGTTTTTTCAGGTTTGTAGTTTAATTTATTATTTGTAAAAATGTCAACTCCATGGGCGAAAATTCAGCCAGTAGAAGGCCCTATCAATTTATTGGAAATTACTTCAGAACAACTTGCAAAAAGTTTACAAGAAAAGTAAGTCAAATAATTTTTTACATTTTTATTATGTTATGTTCATGGTTTGTTAGTATAATGTATATTTTTACTAATAGAGAATTAAAAAAGCATCAAATTGAAAGAGTAGATGATGCAAATATCGAGAATTGTGCAATATGTGAAAGTAATGATACAGATAATGACGAAGTAATTGCACATATGATGCAAGATCAGTTTAACAAAGAATATGATCTAATGCTAAAACGCACAGAGGAAAAATTCAATCGTGATTCCAAAGGTAAAATGTTTTTTTTAATAAATCTTATTTCAAATTTTATGACTTTTGTATCTTATAGTCAATATAACTTATATGAATTACCGAACTTCTCTTTGTGAGGACCAAGATGAAAAAGATTCAGACATTGAAGATACAACCAGAGATTTTGATAGATTTGTGGTAAATACTTTCTAACATATAACAAAATCAGAATATTAAACATTTGATACATACTTTATATTTTATAGAGTATAGAAAAGGAATATGCTTCTATACCACGTTGTGGATATAGAAAAATGGGTGGTAAAGGCTCCCAAATTGTTACAAAACATGATATGTTAATGTCTTCAAGAATAAATGCTTGCAGAGTTTTACAATTTCCACCAGGTATTGATACAGGAGACACAGGAGGATTTGATGTCAAACTAAATAATAAAGTGTTCAACAGTTTAAGAGCTCATAGTCATGCTCAGTGTTCCAGACAGAAAGCAAAAACACGACTACATACAAAATAAAATAATCAAATATCTTGTAAGTGTAAATACATTATGATAATATGTTTGAATTTAAATTTATGACACTTTATTATTATATTACTTAATAGGCTTTTCCTTCTTATATGTAAATGCAAACTACTCAATTATATTAAAACAAGATTGATTTTAGAGCTATTAAAATATAATTATTTTTGACATTAAACATTTGTTGAATGTTGTAATGATATTAACATTATTATATTGTAATATAAAGACACAAAGAACTAAATAAATGAATCTTATTAATTGCTATTTTATTATTTAAAAAATATTGTATATAAAATGAATATATCTGTCATTTGCTTTGTTTAAAAATAAATGACCTTCATTAGTCTATGAACTCATTCCTGTTACTAAAATTATTTCTCTATTAATAGTGTATAAAACTAAAACAAATTATTTTTTTGTACTTTTCAAAACAATTATTCCTATTATTCTATATTTCTGTTCTATCTGGAAATGAGTCATTTCATAAATGATTATATTGTTACATTGTTGTTTCCAACTCTTTAAGCATATTCTAAAACTGGAAGATGAAAATAAGTATTGCAAAAAAAAGTGCATTTCATCATGGAATCATTATATAACTAAGGATATCAGTAGAATTAAAGTTGATAATCTTTGTTATAGATGTATGAATTGCAGATTTTTGTTAATATTAGTATAAAGATATGAAAGTGATAATATTCCTTGCGTTTCGACAATCTTTATTGGTATTTTATATTCTTATTATGAGTAATTTTTTTTGTTTTTATTAAATTATTTAAAAAAATGTAATTTAATATATTCTTATGTATAAAATATTAATTTTTTATAAAAATATCAATAAAATTTTTATATAACATAATTTTATTTTTGACGTGTATTACATTTTAATATATAATTAAATTTTGATCATTTAGTTAATGTTATCATCTAGTTCTGGTTTCTTTTCCGATGATGACGGAAGATATTCCTTCCTATGAATAAAATCACTTCATGATTTATGAACTAATTTAACTTGCAACTACACTGATATGAATATCTATCTTACACTTCAGTTGATGATGATTCATTGATTTTCTTGTTATCACTGTCGAATAATTTTTGTCTTATTTCACTTTCTTTCTGAGTTTCTTTCAAAATCAGATTATATATTTGTCTGTTTAACAGAGAAGATGGATAGTTAAACTTTTCAACGGAACTTTTCAACGATTCAAATATATTTTCCTTCCCTTCTTGTTTATTAGTTCGGATAGTACTATCTTGTGTTATTTCTAATTGATGAGTTTTCTTGACTGCAAAATATAAATGATTCTTTTTTTCTCTCATTATCTATTTATTTGCATATGTAAAAAATTTAAGATTCACTATACCAGGTAATCCAAGATCTTTGTCTTTTTCCTCTGATACTGTGTCTTCCAAGGAATACCGTGGTAGATTCAAATTCTTTGATCTACTTTCAACTTCTCTTAGAAAGATTTCTGATAATCTTTCATTATTGTTAACTACTGTCTTCTGTGTCAAAAATTCCTCTACTATATCATTGACTACCACAGGGCCCTCAGTTGTCGAATTACATTCCGAATTTTCATTATTCAGTGTCGTTTGGATCGCGGGTCTGCATATCAACCGGTTATATAGGGTCAATGAACTACGTATCGATGATCGTAACCAATTATCACTAAATTAGAAACATTTCATTAAATATGTGGAATATAATTGGAATATAATTTACAACAATTTTACTTACAGATGTTTGACATGAAAAAGTCCAAAAATAAAAACTAACGTAGCCACTGAAGCTACTAAATAAATAAACATTTTTTATATGTTCATAAGAAGCATAACACTTCAGTGAATCATTTTGTCAATTGACTACAGTTTTTGGCAAAAGACGCTCAATTTCGCCTACTAGGATTTATTGCGTGAATCTAAAACAAGATAACAAAGTAAAAATTATATTTTTCTTCTATTATAGCGATGAAGAAATAACAGAAAAAATTTCTATCTATGTTAAACCAATTTACTTGTTAATTATAGGATGTTTGATTCACCAAAAAATTATTTAAATATCTAGGATAGAATGAATTCACATTTATGATACTTAAATTTATTCACATTTAAAATTCACAATATTCACAAATGAAGAAACTCCTCTGAAATATCGTATTCATAAAGATGTCCCGCTTTTTATTTTTCCTTCTTTTTTCACGATAAGACTAGGCATGATAGAAGATACGTTGTTTCATATTTTACGCAAATCAATTATATAAAAATTCTAATATTTATAAAAATAATTGTCTAGCAAATTATTCAACTATATTATCAACCATTTTCCGACTATTTTAGAAAAACAATGAAGTTTGAATTTAATACGTTTCAAAAGATACTAAAGATAACGAAATATTTTTATATACTATCATATAGATACACTCAAATACTTCGAAAATTAGTTTCCATAAACTTGTACATCAATTACATATTTTGTTATACAGTCTTAGTCCTTGCATTTTTTTTACACTATAAAAAAAATTTTTTATGTCACTATGAAGCTATTTGCAACGTATTTATTTTAATTATTTGTTCCAAGTAATCATTCAATTACATTTCATCCAGCAGATGTATTTACATCTGATGCTTGATATTGATATAAAAAGTATTATTATACAAATACATATATACTACTCAATTGAAATAATTGAGGTGTCTATTATTAATACTTTTCAACAGTATTAAAAATACAATCAACTATATAATAAAATGTCCACAAACGAAAAATATGTATTCTCAAACGTGTTTATTTAAGCAACCAAGAAAGATAGCAATATCCAACATCAGACAGTAGCTGGGATTAAATGTTCTGGTATTTACGTATATACAGAAGAGTATCCCAAGGAAAATAAAGACGTATCAAAACTAGATCACAAAATGTGTATACAAAAGTTCACATTTAATGATTAACAAATCTGATGCATTGCACAGATTGTTGTATTCATGTTATCAAATGATTTATATATGCATATGTATATATATGTGTGTGTGTATATTTATATATGTATAAATGCTATAGATTGCTCTTGAATATTGTGTATTCTTCCATAGAACATTTAGAACGAGCAATACAAATTCGTATGTTTGCGTTTGTTCGGTTGTTTTTTCACACAAAAAAGCATAGCATAAAAAAAAGTTAATTCATGAACATTTCAAAGGAACACTTTGAAAATTATAAATATTAGACTTCCAATATCCCAACATTTAAACCAATAATAATATATATGCTAAACAATTTTCTTACAAACTACGAAAGTAAAAATTACTTGAACTTACAATAGCAATCAATTTTTTCTTAAGATATTCTTTAAAACATATGTTTAATTTCAACTATAGTTTTCAACCATAAAAAGAAGACATTTCTGAATGGAAAGAAAAAAAAAAGCTATCACTGCATGCACATTCATAAAACCGTGATATACAAAAGAAATCCGATTAGTCTATTATTTTTGCTTAACTTTTTTTTCTTCTTTCTGATACAGAAACTTGTATCGGATATAATTTAATGTGATCAATAAATCTATTGCGCTTTTATTGTATCTAATAGCATTTTTAATAAAACTGACCAAAATTGTATAAATGGTAAAATGCGGAAGGTACCATACTTGCTAGAAATTTTTTATTGATTATATTTAAAGTACAGATTTAAAACAATGCAACATTATAATAATATAGCTTCAACTTTCATAAAATTGTGAAGTATACATACATACGTATTAAATCTGTGCTTTAGCTATAATTTTGATTACTTTATAAATTACTTACATTTTTTAGTCAGTTTATTAAAAGAATTGTTTAAGCTAAAATGTATTAAGACAAATATAATAAATGTTTGGTGTACAGCTTTTGTGAAATCGTATTATGTACTGTAGATTTATATATATATATAATTGCTTTTATATATATATACTGTATATATATATATATATATATATATATAAATTGCTTTTTTAGTTCCTACAACAAAATCTGTTGTTTTCTATTCAATGTGTACTTCAGTGAGCGTATTGTTCACAGCACATGATAAATGTACTTATAGTTGATTCAGTAGTTCTATGCAGAAAATACAACATAATTAACCATTCTTTGATTTTTTTCTAATACGTTTTATAGATCTGTTGTAAAACTGCACTCCTGACACTGACCTACGCTTCACATACAATACTCGAATGTATCAAATATATATATATATACATATATAATTTTTATGTATATATATATTATTATCTGTTTTGATAAATGTCTCTTAGGACAGTATCATTTTTTCCGTGGAATGATACTTAAACACAAAGAATGCAATATTGAAATATCAATAGAGGTTAATCATCTAAATCATTAACATGGAGAACTTCTCTATGGGTTAATCCAGCGTCTAATAATGTTAAAATTTCTCTACATGGATATAAAATTCTCTTCGGAAAACTGGTCGTTATTTCAAAACTCACTGGAGAATCCGGTTGACTAAATATCCAATGATATACATCCTGGAAAAAGAAAATAATTTGTTACAATATTGAAATTAAACAACAGAAAAAAAAGAAAAATAGATAACGCACTTCTAACGTATCGGACATTAGAAAACGTCTTTTCATTGTCCTTTCACCAAGCTTAATTTGAAGATGACACGCATTAGGATTAGTAGGCTCTGGTTCGAGAGGCACTTTACAAACAGTAAGTTCTTTCTCGCGACGAATGCGTTGAATTTCCATTTCTTGTGCATTTAATTGTTCTTTTTCTCTGGCCTCTTGTTCTTCGCGTGCTCGTCGTTCCTCTTCTCTCCTCCGATCTTTTTCTTGATCCGCACGTAGTGATTCCTCGTATGCCTGATCTTGTTGTTGACGCAAAGATTGCGCAGCACTACGTTCTGCCCTATAATAAAGTAAATTAAACGATATTTCATCTAAATAAAGTTAAAATTATTAACATAGAGATATCTGTATTCTTTCTACCTTTCTTGACGGGCTTGTATTAAATTAATTTCGTTGTGGTCTATAATTGTTTGTAAGCGAAATATTAATTCAGAAGGTGATGGTGTACCTTCCATCCTGTAAGATAAATACAGTTTTTGATACTATTGTATTCATTATTTAAGAGATTACATAAGAAAAATTAAAATTATATATATACACATATATTATTTTATGTACCTGCCAACTACTGTCATTTTATTATCTTTTAAAACGATAACAGCCAGAAAAGGGTAAGAACCAGATTTTAGAGCTTCTGCTACTTTGTAACCTTCACCTGATTGCACATTACATGCCCAAAATAAGGTGTGTATATTTATATATTGAATAATTTGTAGATTACCTAATGTATTCCTGCACATAAAGATTTAATTTATTTATTTTCTACAAAATTTTCAGCCACTAGAGCATAATTAATAAAATTACCTGCACCATTGATCAATATTTTGAGCTTCATCTTTATGTAAATATACCAATAAAAACCTTAATTCTTGTTTTGCATCAGAAAGAGCTTGGCTATAAGAACCCTGATAAAAAACAGGATGACTGTTACCATAGGCTTCTTCATAGGATCGAATGAAGCTAATCACATCTTCCACAGGATCAGAAGATACTTGAAATGCAATCAGCATATTAGTTTTTGTTGTAAAATTTTTTTCTAAAATTAATTTGCACGAAAATGAAACATACCAGGTCTAACATTTCTCCTAAATATTGAAAGAAGTAGTTGCAAGATGCTGATCACTCTTTCATAACAGAATGAAAAGATGTACCATAAATAACTACCCCTGCCATTAGGGCTTCCAGAATAATGAAAATATATTCTAGAACTACTATCATCAACAACTTGTGGTGGTCTTGATCTTGAATCCTGTGCATACATAGATGGTCTTCCTTCATACAAATTTAGTTGTTCCTAAATGAATAAATATGAACATTTTAATTATAACACAATTTCAAGCTTTGATCTGTTTATATAAATAGTGAAAAAATAAATTAATAAATATTAAAATACTCAGATACATAAGATAAATATGCATAAAATTATAATATCTTTGAAATCTTATTAGTAATTCTATTACACAATTGACCTATATACGATACAAAAATAGTATAAAAAAACTTTTTTTAAACTTTTGAAAGATTTGGGCTCATATGTAATCTTTATCATGCAATCTTGTGCACCATTCCTTGCAATTAAAAATATTCAAAACAAAATACGTGGCTAAAGAAATCTACCTGAACTGCAACCTCCAAATTCCAATTGTGTCTTTGTAAAACATCTCTGCAAATTGATAGATCCTCGATGCCTGTTAAATCCTGAAATCATTGCCATACTCTCGTTTTATGATCGTGACAAAAAGATTAAATTCATTGAAAATTGAATGATACAGTATGTAACACAATAAATCACCTGAAACTGCAGGATCTTTTCAGTTTGATCGCTGCTAAATCCGTTTAACGCGAAATCTGCCATATCAATGTTGTTTTGTCAGCAAACGGCTAGAAAATGCTTGACAGTCGTTTAACTATGCGGTTCCACAGAATGATTCGAAATTCATCAGCTAATAGAAAAACCAGGCACTCGAACAAAATTACGATGAAACTACGCAAGCATTTGGAGCGTGATACCGAGAAAGATTAACCTCAAGTGTACACGGTCCCCAGTTTATGGACCTCGGTTCATTATCATCACACGTTTTGTCTCGTCGTTCTGTTCTGTACTCAATGTTTTCGGTGTCATGACTTTTTACGATAATTTACAGTTTCAAGGTTCTATTTCATGCGACACGATTCCAAGTGACGTCAGCTACATGCATTGGTGAAACGATAGTCAACAGTCCTTCTGTGTTGCCATTGGTAGAGTGTTATTGCTGCTAGCAACCAATAATGTACACTTTAATTAATTCGTTATAGATTTCGCAAATGAATTGCCAATAACAATTCGACATATTCTGATATAATATTTGTTATAGACGTTTTTCAACGTATCGTTGGCAAATTGAGCTTCGTTAATATGTATCTCAAGTACAAAGATAACCAATGAAAAAGTAGTATTCAAGCAAGATTTTGAACTTATTTCAGCTAAATTTTTTGAAAGTCATTTACGTTTGATCGTTAAAATTGATAGTCATTGGTTGCACCGTACTATTTGATATATGACATTCTAAGTTGTACGATTGTCGTGTATTGTTGATAATGTATTACATTTCATGATACGTTATTCTGTTTGTTGAAATTGATATACACCTGTTGCTTTAAATCTGTTGTATTATTTCGATGTATTCAAATGGATAGTGACTTTGATATTAAAATTGAAATCCAAAAGACCTTGATGTCTATTAAAGACATAACATTAAAAATGTAAGATTTACTTATATTTTTATTTATTTATATTCTGGGTTATAAATCATTTCTGTCACTTTAAAGGATCTTATTTACTGAATAAACAGGAACGGTTTCTTTTATTTCTTAGAAAAAATGAGTTGAACATAATTAATGAACTCGTGAAAAAGGATGGACAACTTCACACAGCTGTGGTTGATGCAAGCAAAACCTTAACTACAGTAGCTAAAGACATGGACATAGATGTTGAGAATGTTTTAAGTAATAATGAAGGTGAAAATGAATCTCAATTCAATGTGAGAGATATTCTATCTTCTGCTGCGTTCCAAGAAAAAATATTAACATGTTTAAATAATATGTAATTTTTATTATTTTTATTGAACGTTTCATATGCTTTTATTTACAAACTGTTTTATACAAGGAATAGAAAGAATATAAAATCTATTTTCTTATACTATATTATCTATATATTTATACTTAGTATATTTCCTATACTATAACCCAGCGCAGTTACCTATTTTCCATTGTTAAAGCTTTGACTCTGTTAGCCAAGTAAATTTTTGTTCTTTACGATCAGCATGGGGATTAATCATAATGTTTATTAAGCTGGGAGAATCATTGATCTGTAACAAATTTATTCATTATAGCTGTTGATTATCATATGAATTAAATGAGAGATATAAATGATGTTTACTTGAAGGCATGCTCTGAGTGCATGTTGTATATCTTGCACAGTAGTGCAGAAGTATCCTTTGCGACCAAACATCTCTAACATTTTTTCATAATGTGTTTCTGATGTTAAACAATGCGGCGGTGTTCTAAAAATCAATATATACATGTATGTATGTATATATACTATATATTATAATATCATATTGTATATATACATATATATTGTCTAATAATATTATCTATTTTCATTTTTGAAAAGATATCGAACAAAAAGCTTACACTTGTGTTGGTTCGCCTGAGGCTTGTATTTGTCTGAATGTTTCATTATCTAAACCACCATATATACCATTATTATTTAGAATGATAATAATAATGGGCAGTTTATATCTAAAACATTAAAAATAATTAGTGAAATTTAATTTTTATGATTTTGTATTTAGTAATTTAAGTTATTTACCTGACCATTGTTTCAATTTCCATGCCAGAAAATCCAAATGCACTGTCTCCTTCTACACAAAGAACTTTTTTTGTGGGGGCATTGTTTTTACAATAAAGGGCGGCTGTTATGGCGAAACCTAAACCAACTCCCATTGTACCAAAGGTAGCAGCATCTAATCTATGACGCGGTTGATTATTTAATAAAATCGTTTTTCCTATGTCCATTGTATTAGCTCCTTCTGAGCAAATAATACAATCTATAAAAAGATATTTAAATATTCTTTTTACTTATTTTCTTAATTGTTAAAATATTGTTTCCTTCATATTGTAAATTAACATTTCATAAATTGTTACCAGATGGGATCACGTCTTGAATATGTTTAAAAACGGCATAATAATTTAATGGTACTGAAACATCCATTGACATTTTCTGCAAAATAAAAAAAAAAATGTTAATGATAAAAACAAGATATGTTAGTTTTCAAATCAATATCGATACATAATAACGACACCTGAATTATTGCTTTATTTTTATTTGATCTGGCTTGTAAATCTTTCCACCATGGACTATTTTCTTCAACGAACCATTTTCGTTCTTTCAAAACAGTAATAAGACTGTCTGTAGCTGTAGATATATCAGATTGAATTGCAACTGCAGAAGAAACAGAATTGTGTAGTTCTTCTGAACATAAGTCGACCTAAAGGACGAGCACATTAAGTTTTCTTTCATAGAAATTATTTCGTAAGAATAAAATTGTAATACCTGTATCACTTTAACATCAGCCTGAAAACGAGGTGGTTTGCCAAAGTGTAACATCCAATTTAATCGAGCACCTAGTAACAAAATTACATCGCTTTGTTGCAATGCGAATGTTCTAGCACTAGAAACGCATCGTTCGTTCGTATCTGGAACAACTCCTTTGCCCATTGGCATCGGAAGAAAAGGAATCCTGGTTGAATATACAAGGTTTCGGACTTCATTCTCTGCTCTTCCATAGGCAGCCCCTACAATTTTGCAATTATATATTTTTTCAACGTTAATAATTTTTTTTAATACTCACGATCAATTACCTTTTCCTATAATTAACAATGGTTTTCTTGCTCGCACAAGCAAATTAGCTGCTTGTTGAATTAATCGTTGATCGGGAAACGTCAGTGGTGGTGGTGGGCATGGTTCAACATCATAAATGCTTTCTTCTTCGACTGATTGATTTAATAAAGTAGCTGGTAAGTCTAAATACGTAGGACCTACGAACATTTATAACGTGCAATATTTTATACTTCTGCTAAAAATAGTATACAGTGAATGTACCTGGTCGACCGTAAATAGAAATTCGGACAGCCTTTTCCACATGGAGCGGTATTAATGTTGCGGATGGCGGTCGGGCAGCATATTTACAATAGAGTTTACTGGATTCTACTTGCGGCCATTCCTGAAAACCTCCAATACCTTCATGGTCTTCAGAACACGATCCACCAAGTACTATAAGCGGCCTATGCAAGAATTTATAGTGTTCAAATTATAGAAATATAATTAGTAACTAGCAATAAAAAGTCAAGGATTTTTTCCTAATGGTTTTGCATTTTCTAATAATATAATCTTTATATGACACGGTTTACATAATCATTATCTAACTTACACGCTATGTGTTTTCTTTAATAATATGGCACAATAAATGTGAACCGGGTTACATAATCAACTATAATCGTTTCATATAAGATTACTATTCTTTTACGAGATAAAAGATTTGTGTATCATAGAAATTGCATTAATTGTAATCCGAGACAACATAAAATTTTAAATCGTTGCAACATGTTGCGCCAATGGATTTTCCACAGTATGTATATTAGCTCTGTGTTTTCAAGTAGCACTTTTGATTAAAAATTTTAAAATTTTAATTTATAAATTTTAAATTATATACAAGCAAGAAAGGAAGAGCTTGAACAAGACTCACCAACAATTTACTTGAGCGTTTGCCATACCACCGATAACATGAAGCAATCCTGGTCCAGAAACGCACAATACTGCTGCCGGTTTTCCTAATTAAAAAAATGTAATAATTAAATATAATTAATTAATCCTTGCGGTACTCGTGCAAGCGTACGAAAGGATTGTTATGTACTATAACGAATTAATTATATCCTTCAAATCATGTGTTTGGCTTCGTCTAACAGTTCCTTTCATACTTTACGGTAATTATTCAAATTTTGCGCGCTTACCCGTCAAATATCCATAAGCTTGCGCAGCGTAGCATGCGGCTTGCTCATTTCTAAATCCAAGATATTGGATACCCGTTATTTGTATGGATAAGGCTAGATCAATCACGGGATGTCCCATTATTCCAAAAACATATTCGATACCCTGTTTATTTTCAAAATAAAGAAATTTAATAAAATAACTTTTGTATTTTCGTATCATCCAACATAATTAATATAATGCATTTTTTTTTTTTTTAGAATATACGTATGCACAATCATGTATACAACTGGCAACTGTTATCAGGTTGATATACGACGAACAAGAAATCACTTGAAAAACAATAAAATTAAGAAAAGAATTAAGAATACAACAGATAAGTTAACTGTACGTTTGTTTGTTTTTCCATATGAAGAACAAGAATGATTGTCTTGGCGGTGACTAGTTGTATGAATTCAAATGACAAAACTACTTCGACTGTAAATGTATAAAGTTAAGTGCACTATTTATGCGAGTACACGTTATCAAGAAAATATCTGCGCATTGCAATGGAATGATTAATTTCTTGTACGTGTTTTACGAAAACGAAGAGTCGAATTTTGTTTACGATACTTTAAAAATAACTTAGTGGGCACGTTGATTGTACAACGATCAATTAAAAAATCAATTAAAAAAGTGATTGGAATACGACTGGATCAAAAGTTTATTAAAACAGAAGTGAAATGCTTTCCTATGATGAGGAACGAGTTCCGCTTGTATCACGAGTAAAAAAACGTGAGTATTTATTAATTAGTTAACAATCGCAGGGATTAATCAATTTTGTAAATCTTCATTATAAAATGGATAAATCCCTTAAAAAAATAAGTTATCTGTAAACATAAATTATTTGTAGATAAATTTGAAAAGTTCGTGTTATAAAGTACAAATCATTACTTTTAAAATAAAATAAAGTCAGAAACATATTTTAAGAAGCTTTTTTTTAACCCGGGATTATCCACCTGGGGGTCTAGCGCAGGTACATCTCGGCGACTAGACCCCCACGAGGGTAATCCCGAGTTAATGGAAATATATTATTTCCTTGAATCTCCTAATTAAAATTTGACTAATCGCAATTGGATTTATTAATTAAAGAATTTTATTAAAAATAAAATTAATATTAAAATTCCTCGTTTGTAGCGATTCGTAAAAGTTGCACATTCACTATGGAAAATTTTCATTTTTATATTATATTAAATTTTCGAAATTTCGCGATTATTTTTTTTTTTTTTTTTTGACAGATTTCAACGTCGCATCGATTGCGAGGAATAATCATATTAAACTCTAAGACTATAGAAATTTATAGTTTTTTATACATGTATCGCACAAAATTTTTCATACATGTAATATATTTAGAAGTTCCTATTTAAATATGCATTTGCATATATGATATTTTATACCAGTTTACTACATTCAATGACAAATCACTTTGTTACCTGAAATCGATACTGTAATCAATTTTGCAATGGAATTTTTATAAATTTGATTCGTTATTTACAACAATCAATACACTGCTCGATCATTGATAGTACAATTCCAATTGTATCACTACTAATAAAAATTGTCTAAATTTCGATGAAGAATATAAATAATATATACGTATATATAATATTTGTAAATATTTCACATAACCTTAAATGTCACTGTGACAAGAATTGACACGAGAATTAAGAAAAAACAAGAAAAGAGAAAAATTAAAAAGGTGAGACCTGTTTCTTCAAAGCTTCGGCAACTATTTGATTTCCGTTCTTCATTTTCAAAGATTTTCTCTGTGTAACGTTCGACGATGTTCTGCATTACCAGAATTTCAAGCGACTATCTAATCTGTCGCTGTACTTCGTATTTGTTACCGACGTGCAGGTGAACTTTGGAACCAGCAAAAAGTAAGATTTAATTTTCACGTAGTTAGCAATCTTCAGTAAGCAGTTTTGTGCAAATTTATTTAAATTAGCAATTTTTAAATATCATGCAGCAATTATCTTGCTAAAAAAAAGTTTTTATTAATTAAGTTTCCGTACATACGATGAAAAATTGTCGATGTTTTTATACTGCTACGTGAAAAAGAATCGTACGTGAAATTTTAAAAGATTGTTGCAAAGAGGAGACTTTAATTTTCAAAATTATAGTAAATATAGTTATTATAAAAATTTTTTTAACGTCTATAAGGATGTTTGAATTTACAAAATTTTCGAGAGAAAAGGTATCTTTATTTAACTTCTTTCAAAATGACATAAAAACATCTTTGAAATAAAAGAAACACAGTGCTCTGAAAATATGTGGATATAAAAGCGCCTGATCAATGATTTTTCGCCAAGAAGTCATATAAGTTTAAAGTGTTGTCAATTTTTTATCATACGCGAGAATACTAAGTCGAATGGAAAATTTATCAACACTTTAGAGTGCTATGACTTCTCAATAAAGATCATAGTTCAATCAATATTGTATTTATTAAGCACTATTTATATTTTTACAGTGCACATATTCATTTCTTTATCATTTTAAAAGAGGTTAAATAAAAATACTTTCCCTCTCGAAAATATTCATAGTTTTGAAGATTGGAGTCTCTTCTTTACAACGAAATTTGATCCACGAGTTTTTGTTTTTACGAAGTTAGAAAAGTTTAAAATATTGTCGACTTTTCATTACATATAATATATATGGAAACTTTCTGGAACCACTATACATATATATTATATATTACATATATTGTAACATTAAATTCACCATATGAGATTGTTCCAGAAATTTATATTTTATTAATGTTCTTCTAATTGCTAATTGATTCAAGATTATTGTAATCTCAATCAATCTCGGTTTTGCAATCTCAAAGAAAAGAATATTATTTATTTAAATATTTCTTATAAATATCAGGATTAATATTATTTAAAAGTCAGATGTTTATTCAAACGTGAATTTTATTTAATAAATGCTAGAAATTGAATTCTTCCATTAAGCAAGGGAAAAGATGAAAATTTGAAAGTGATTCAAAGTTTGAAATAGAAACTGTCATTTGGATGGCAGTTTCTATTTCGAATTGTTGTCCCTTATCTAAAAACGCGTACCTGAACAAAGCTCTGTGCGAAAAGGGCAACGGATCTTGGAATTATGGTTTACACTGTGTAGTTGAAACACGACGGTTCAAGGTCTCGAGAAACGTTACTACTCTCCCAAATTCTTTGAAAATTAATTCTCACTATTTCCCTTATTCCGGATCCAATTCATTATCCGGACTTAAAAAATTTTGAAAGTTTTGATCTATTACGACATCACGTTTGATCTTCCACTTCGTTTCTACTGCATTATCTTTAGGAAGCAAAATTAGGAGGTCTGAAATACAACCGCGCATTACATGCACATCTATTCTCGAATTACGCACGTATTCAATTATGCAATCGTCTGTTGTATTTCCACTGGCTTGAAATATCTGTAAGATAAATTTTACGATATAATTCCTTACAATATAAACTACGAATAAATTTCGTAATATATAAATCTTGTTTCCAGTCGTTACAACGAATATTTTATCTGCAAGTTTGTCACTGCACAAGTTCTTGCCGATTCTAAGGCTCGAAAACATACAGTACACCAGGTAGTTGAATGCTTTTGTACCAGGAACAGCCGATTTATCTTTAAGCCTTAAGGACATAGACGAAGTATATGAATATACTGTCTGTACCTAGGATTTAACTAAGAAATACATAACGTCGAAGAGTACAAAATACTGGCTACACAGAGGATAAGACGATCCTGTGTGAATGGTTGGGACAATTTTCGTAGGGCAAGGCTCCGTGCAATTTTTAGAAAGCGTACAATTTTTAGTGCCGTTTAGAAAGCTATTTAAGACGTTTGAAACATACTGAATATTTTGCTGAGCACAAAATGTTGCAGACTAATTTCTCCGAAATTATTGCAGATGACTTGCAATTTCATTTTTACCATTTTGTTTTTATATGTTGTTAATAACATTCTTCGTGTTGACGTATTTTTACGTATGCATAATTCGAAAGGAAATATATTTGTGCGTCGAAAGTTCCAATGTAATAGAAAGAGGAAATAAATAAATAAATAGTTGGGGAAATGAATGGAAAATGTTTTTCCATTGTTGTGACTTTTTAACCTTGCAGGATACAACACAAAATGCTTTTAAATAAAAGGACTGTCGAAATAATGAAAAATTAATGTATCGTTTGCATTTAAAATACTCATCACACGCCCTAAAATGTTAGCTCCTCCGCACCAAATTTCATTTCTCACCCTATTTTTCAAGCGTGGAATATTCCTAATAAATAACTAATAAACTCTAACTATCTCTTTTAATTGTTTTCAATGATATTGAACGACCATTTAATCTACAGTTAAAATATTTTCTCTGTAAATACTCGAATTGTTGCGCATATTTAATAAAACCTTGAAACAAAATGAATGAAACTGAAATATTTATTTGAACAATAGTAAATGGAAATCTTCCATGTGGATTACATAATCATATCATTAGAGTATCACATATTTTTTTATCTAAATTCAAGATCGACTTTTATTTAAACAACTATTGTGAATCGGTGCAACATACGATATATATACTTATATACATGGTTAATTGTTTCCGTTGCTCATCGTGATACATCTGAATTGTAAAAAAGTATTCGTGTCCTGTCTTTTCGTTCCAAGTAAATCTGAAAAAGTCAGCTCTCGGTTATTGTTTGTACATTTAAATGTCCATAGACAGTTTAAATGTCCTTCTTTGTTTCTTCAAGCTACGCTACTGATTCATAAGATTTTCTTTCAGTTAATGACGTGATTCACGTCGACAACGACAGGGCTCGTTATCGACAGCCTCCTATCGATGAAAGTTTATCGGTGGCCGTCAAAGACAATGATCTTTTGCATAACATCAGTACGAATAATGTATAAAGGGAAACGCGAATATTTTAAGCAACGCGCGTTTTCCTTTTCAAATCGTCACGTTCCTGCGAAACGAAACAGCTGTTTGATTAAACACGTACAGAGATTAATGTATCTGTACGTAATTAGTATTTTAGTTATAGTTTTAGGGAATATAGTAGGGAGTATAGTTTAGTAAAAGAAAGAAAGAAAAAAGGAAAGAAACCGGCGCAGAAGTTGCCGCGGCCGATGCACAAATTCATGGTGCAATCCGTAGACCGCGGAATTACGTAAAACGCTGGCAAATTATTGAAAATTAAGGAAGCCGCGTTCCACGATGTCAAATCAGAGTCGCGTGGAACAACACGCGACAATACAGAGAGGAACGCGAGCAGCTCGATTTGTTGCGTTTTTGTTTCGTTCACCTTGGCTTTTTTTTTCTTTTTTTTTTTTTTCTTTTTATAAACGAAAAACATTTTCGATCCCGACGACGAACGTTTATTTCGTATATCTTCGTACGGATTGTTTCAACAGGAAAGTGCGTGCAATTAGAATTTTGCAGCAACAGCACAAATCGTTACACCGTAACTGCGTTTTAACAACTTGATCCAACTGAATTTAATAATTGTCCGTTAACGAAAAATTTAAGGGAGTTTGAGAAAATCGAATTTTTTCGGATTTTTTTCTAAGGAAACCATGATACATTTCGGTATGCAGTTTTCGCACACAGATTTATTCATACTTAAAGAGTATTTACAATTTTTTTTTAAAGAAATCAGTGAAAGTTGTGGAAATTATGTAGCCTTAGGTAAAGCATGTTTTTAAAAACGGGTTCGAATGGTTGACGTGATTTCGGTTCATCTGGTTCATCTGAAACTGAAAAATCAGAATGCATCTTAATTAGTATAGGTATGGCTATCACATGAACCACGGAAACAGTGAAATTTCGAAAATTAAAAAAAATGGTAGCATTTTGAAGTTAAAATATCGATTTTCCTTGTGCTTTTGGTCTTTTGGGTGGTAAAAAAAAAAAAAAAAAAAAATAGGAAAAAACATCAGATTTTGAAATCCGTGGTTCGTGCGATAAAGGTATGTCCGATGAAGATCTCCAAAATCAGTCGACTAAAACGTGAGATATCCTGTCAGCTGGTTTAAAAAATATGGATTTGAGAAAAAACACATTTGAAGTTCTTGTTACCGGTTGTACAAAAATATTCATACTTACAATTAATCAAGCAGTACAAAAAATAAAATATTATGAAATAATAATAATATAAAAATAAATAATAATATAAATAATAATATTGTAAAATAAAATATATTTTGAGAAAAAAACATTTGAAGTTTTTGTTACCCGTTGTACAAAAATATTCATATTTACGTCGCGAGCAGTGGACCGTTTCCTTTAAACATCTATAACTTTGCTAATTTTATCAATTCAAACAAATCCTTTTGCATAGACATTTTCGAAAGCATATACTTTGAGAAAATTAAAAAAAAGAATCGACTTTTTTAAACCGAATTTTCAGAATATCCCCTTAAAAGCAGATAGTGGGAAACGTTTGAAGGATGCCCAGTCATATATTTTTCGAGCTTCTTTCTTTGTTCGACGTGATGATAAATGACAGACCCCTGCAGGGGTGGTGCAGTACGAATCCTAAATCTCATTGTATTTCCCTGTCATTTCATGGAAGAGATGTACCTCGTTCCCCCACTTACTCTTACCTCTCGACCATTTAAATAGGCTGGATAACCGATGTCATCAGTTACTCCTTCGGCAGTTTCGGAACAACGTTGTATTAGAAAGTTAGTTTCCGTAGGCTTCGTCCAGTCTTTTGCTAAAGAATGTCCTGACGATCTGTCTCGAATGTCGGGTTAGTTGGTGCGTGTCCGGAACTCTATCATAGTCGCAGAATGTACAAACAGTATTACAAGAAGTTCTTTCCACGTAAGTAAAGCACACGTATTTCTTTCTTTTATTTGTCGTTAAATTTCGCGAAACGATGGCTCGATCGTTAAATTACTCCATTAAAGAAAAGTTCGGTTACCGAAACACCTTGTTTTGCAAGTCGCAGAATGTACAAGCAGTATTGCAAAAATTTATATTCTCTCCACGTAAATAAAATATACACATATTTCTTTATTTCATTTGTTGCTAAATTTCGCGAAACGATGGCTCAATCATTAAATTCCTCTTAAAAAGAAAAAGAAATAATAAATTCAGTTACTGAGTATAATGAGTAACTTATGTTATTTCAAACGATTGGCAACTTGGCCAAGTAGGAAGTTGATTTTTAACGGACGTCGAAATTCGTCGATGTTTTCACTCTTCTCGGCATAGTTTTTATCATACCCGTTATTTAACCTTGTTATAAGACGATCGCTTAGACTCCTTAATTCAATTTCTTTCCTTACTGGAAAATTTTCGTCCAACAGTTTTGCTATCTATTCGAGTGAAAAAAAAAAAAAAAAAAAATTTGAGTTCGATCGATATTAATCGAACTTACGGATCGTGAAGTTGAAGAAATTGACAGTTACATTGTTTCGTATTCTTCGTTTTCTTTTTTTATTCAACATCGTTAAATTGTTTTCGCGTGGAAATCGATTGGTTCAACCGACTCGAATATCTAAAGGGGAAAACTTATCGTACGCGAGAAACGGAAGTAGAATCTGTAATCGGAGCAGTTTCAATTTTGTACATAACGGCATACGGTAACGATCGATTTGTAAATACAGAGCGGAATGTTTGGAAAGTGGTCGAGAACTTTCTTTGAAAGACGCACTAGCAGTAACGAGTACCTGCTACACATTACTTATAGGAAAGTTAACAGCTAAAAAGAAACGCTACGTACAAGTTTGGATCGCTTAATTTTTTTCCTTTTTTTTTTCAATTCTTCAGCGCCCATCTAGCAACGTATCTATTTCAAAAAATCGGAATATTTTTAATTTATATTTTTGCATTGCTCTTCTCTAGCTGCAAACGCGTAGATTTAAAAAAAAAAAAAAATTTGAACGTGCGTAAGTAGATTCTCGGGAAAACAAAGTCGCTGCTAAACATCGTGCAATCTAGCAACGTATCTATTTCAAAAAATCAGAATATTTTTAATTTATATTTTTGCATTGCTCTTCTCTAGCTGCAAACGCGTAGATTTAAAAAAAAAAAAAATTTGAACGTGCGTAAGTAGATTCTCGGGAAAACAAAGTCGCTGCTAAACATCGAGCAATCATAGTTGGCAAGGTAACCCGTCAAATTTTTTTCATTGACGAGCCAGTCACTAGGACAGAAGCTTCTTTTTTAAACCAGTTATCTTCAACGTTAGAATGTTCATACTTAGATCTATCCAGGACGGCGTTACCGGTATATCCGGACTTTTCGACAAACCCGAAGCCCCATTTTGGAAAGGTTTGAGTGAGTGAAGAATTGCGAACGCGAGTAGATAATTTGAACCGTATTATTCCCGACTCGGTTCACTGAGTAATTTTATTCTAGAAGCAAAATAATAAAAAGGAACCCCCCCCCACCAAAAAAAAAAAAAAAACATGAAAACGAAAATCAAGAAAGAACCTTATCGTTATCGATCTTGTCCTTCGTTACAGGATGGATACCGACACGAGTTCTCATCTGCGTAATGACGTTCACGGCCTGTTGGACCAATTACGTGTGTCGTTTGCAAATGCCGATACTCGCCGTTCCAATGATCAAAGCCGTAGCAAAGCCAAACGTTACGGAGGGCGTTTGTCGATCGTCCGACGAGTTCCGAGTTCGCCGCGCAGTTTCTTGGTTGGATCCGGGCGCCGACTTGGATAACTACATTCTGTCGAGGCAGATCGAAGCCGCGGAATATGAAATGATTGCCAAGATGCACAGCGTTCGTGTGCGCAGGAATGACGTCGAGCAGGTGACGCGTCCATCGGATGGCCCCATAGAGCTGTTCAATGGTCTACCTTTCGACTGGAGGCCGGAGATCCGCGGTCAATTGATCGCTGCGTACAGCTACGGGAACGTTCCTGGTAACTTCATCGGTGGTGTGATGGCCGTCAAATGGGGCCCTAAGAACGCGGTTCTATGGACGTCTATAGTAGCCGCTGTGGTGTCACTGATCAGTCCGATCCTTGCCCAGTTTCACTGGGGAGTGCTTCTGTTCTCGAGAATAATTATAGGCCTTACCGGTGGAATAACGTTTCCAGCGTGTCACGCCTTGGTCGCGCAATGGGCACCACCGAACGAGAGGGCTCGTTTCGTTTGGTCGTTGCTCGGTGGCACGTTCGGTACAATCCTTACGTATCCGATGGTCGCTGGTATCGCGGAGAGCACGAACTGGGAGACCGGATGGTACATTCCGTCGTTGCTAATGATGGTCTGGATAGTCGTCTGGGCAATAGTTGCGTATGACTCTCCTATAGAGCATCCTGGTATCACGGAAGAAGAAAGGGAGTACATAAAAAGGTGAGCACAGGAGCCAATATCGATTGATCGATCGTTGATTTATTGTTAGTCCCATATACATAGTGTCCCGGCTCTTTCCCGCCAAACTTATTCCAGTGGCCAAAAGAAAAAAAATGTTCGCTTCGTTAAGGAGATATAAACAAATAGTGATGAATAGTTACTCGCTATTTTTAAAGTCTCATTTCAAAATGATGTCCTTCTGCTCGGATACAAGCTTTACATCGATGAAAAACTGAATTTATTGCTCTACGCAGTGTCTCAGTATCTTGTTGCATCTCAATAACTGCATTTTTAATACGCTGCACAAGATCTTCATACGAAGTCACTTCGGTGGAGTGAAAGGAGTTTTGTTTCAAAGGTGCCCCATAGATAAAAGTCGAGCGGTGTAAGATCGACACTTATTTATCAACACTCATTTCCAATTATGAGACAGGCTGGTGCAAAGAAAAGGAATGATTGAAATATTGAAACTCAGTAAAATACCAAGTATCTATTTTTGATTACATCTCTGCAATAAAGCGTTGATTCGCAAACTTCATGTAACATTGTTTCCTTCTTTTGACCCCTAGGATAAGCTCTCACAGTTTAGCGGGGGAAAAACCCGGGACACCCTGTATAAATTGCTCTGTATTTGTCTTTCCAGCGCGCAGGCAGGCACAGTGAGGAAAGAGAAACCTTCGTTGAAAGAAACACCGATCAAGGAGATATTCACCTCGATACCTTTCCTCAGCTTGCTCATCTGCCACTTCGGGAATATGTTCCTTTTGTTCTTCTATCAAAACGTCATGATGCTTTACTTGACAAGAGCTTTAGGATTTGAACTGACGAAGGGAGGTTTCGCTGCTAGCCTACCTTGGGGTTGCAGGATGCTGTTCGGGTTTTTCTTCAGCTGGGCTGGCGACACGCTCAAAAGGAAGGAGATCATCTCTGTTACCCTTATACGTAAAGGCGCTACGACATTCTGTGAGTAAACTTTAATTTCAACTACCGTTCAAGAACGAAAGCGAGTTTTTTTTGTTGCAGCTCATCTTCTACCGGGCGTCTTCCTCCTTTTAGTCGGATACGTTGGATGTAATTTCGTCCTCGCTAATGTCTTCCTCGTGCTGGCTCTGGGTTTCAATGGGGCAGCGAGTATTGCGAACTTGTCCAACAATCAAGATCTGTCGCCAAATTTCGCCGGTTTTCTATACGGTATCATGAACACAGCCGGTTGCGCTTCTGGCATAATTATTTCTCCGATGGTCGAAGAAATAGCTGGAAAATACGGAGTAAGTAGTTTCTCTCTGTGATTCATCATAACTTCTCAGCCAGCTTCGCTTCACATTTGCTTATTCGCTCTACAGCGCAGATATCTGCAAGGGATATCGTATGTTGAATGATTTTTGCATGTGAATTATATAATTTTTTTTTTATTCGCGCGATCACACAGATAGAGTGTGACGGATATCTCGTTACAATCAAGTTGACAGGTTTTTGCTCTTAAGCACATTCGAAACTTCAGTACAGCCTTGTACTATGTTGCGTAACTCATAGTACGAGCAGTACTGTAGATCGTATGTGCACACGAGATCTCCAAAAACGAAACACTGCCAACGACATACAAAATTTCACTGACCAAGTCAGGATTTCATAGGTCACGCTTTATCCTACTTCTTATACTCGAATAATTTATTTAAATAAACATATTGTTGAGCGTTTTCAAGCGAGCATATGTAATGTAATATGAAATACATGTTCTGTAATTTTCATATCATGTAGACGCATAAAGTACTAATTAATGTCAATATCGGTACATGCACATGGTGTAAGAAATCGCTCGAGTCAAATGGCAGAAGGCTTCGCTAAGCTCATACCTCGCATCCATCCAAGTATACTTGCGGTGATGGCATCTCGGAGGTACTCCTCGTCTCTATATTGATAGAGATGTATAGTACGGGAAGTACCTTGTAGATGCATCATCAGGCAATCCATCATCCACAACGCAGTAATACGTTTGCACTATCATCTACACTATCAATGTTTCGATATCTTCACTGTACTTAACAGAAACATGCACGTATGTGAGTATGTGTATTCCAAATTCATGTTAACGCTGTCACTTCTCTATGGTTCTATCAACTTGCTCTCCATTAATTTATTAATTTACGTATTTTTTATTCTGGTGAAAATTATCCTTTTTTTTTTTTAGATTGGTTCATGTCTAACTGGTTTCTTTTTCTTCTATTTTCTTTTAGGATCCTATCGACAGATGGCAAATATTATTTTGGATCAGTTCGGCGGTGTGCATAACTTCCATGATCGTTTTTCTTTTCGGGGGAAGCGGGAGGACCCAAAGCTGGAACGAGATTCGAAGCAGGCCCGATACAGAACTTGAGGCGAATTGATTATTTTTAGGATTTTTACAATTTTATTAACATTGGACGTTTCTGTGAAATATGTAATGAAAAGAAATTATACTTAAAATTTCACTATCTAACTTATAATCGCGTTTTACAATATCTTTAAGGCATTGACAAACCAAAAAAAGAAAATTATTGTGACCCGGAAATATTGTAAATATTTTAAAGGTCCCTTTATAATAATTGTTATCGCACGTTTTATTAGAATTTCAAATGAATGTTTGTTAAGTAATTTTTTATATGTTATACGAATGTTATACGAATTATGATTAAATATTTCGTTAAATAAATTTATATGAATTGAAACTTTTATCTGAATTAAAACTCCTATTCTCTTTTTATCATTTTATAAAAAGTACTTTATATGAATATAGTAGAACAATTATATTTACATATAAAAATAAAATGTTTGTGTATGATATTAAGAAACTGTCATCTTTACTTATGGATATAAAAAAAAAACATTTAAACTACATATTGAAGAATGTTTACATTTTAGAAGACTTTCCTGTTGACTTTATATAGATTTCATTTATATTATGAATATTGAAAGAGAGAAAGATTGATGCTGTAATGAAAAGATAAATTAAATATTATTAGGAATTTTCGTTTCCAGGTAAAATAGATCGGGTTCATGAATAATTGACATATACCATTATCAGTACATATTCAAAAGATAATTATTAATTTAAATACCGTGTTAGGCGATAATAGAAGTTTTAAAGTACTAAAGTCACGCGATTCTTTCAAAGTATTTTTTCACGCAATAAACGTAAAAATAAATGAATATATGAAAATTTTAATTTTTGGTTTATTTATGGTATGCTCGCAAATTTGGTTTTTCTCTATCCACCTAATAGGTTTGTCTTCCAATTAGTACAGAGAATCGATGTTCCACCGTGATCAAAAGTTTGAAAAGAGCAATTAATTATAAAATTAGAAAATATCGTTAATTTATTTCTTATTTGATATTATATAAAATAAGATAGAGGAAAGAAAAGTAAATATTGCAAAGTGTGTACACAGCACAAAAATTAATTTTATTTGGTAAGAATTTAATTTATTGCACATTTATCATCACAAATGCTTTATATAAAGCTGTTAATTTTATTAATCTCATTTATTAATTATTCATGTTAATTTACAACAAATACATAATTGTTTTCTATGAAAAGTAAATATATCTATAAATTAAAATTTCTCGCATGCTTGATAAACTTTAGCGATAAAGCAACAATCTTTGTGCACATTTCATTCCAACTAAACTAGCGTATGTTTTAATCTCATCTTCCTCGTCCTGCGTGACGTTTTGGGCTTGCGTTTTATAGATATTATACGGCATCGCAATGTTGCCATACAAAATTAATACCTGGAAATTTATTAATAAAAATGAAACAATTCATGATTTAAAAATAAGTGATCTTGTTTATATTACCTCGCAGATATCAACCCTACCATCTTCATCAATAGCATTAATATCATCATTAAATCTGCTATATTTTTCTTTATCTAATTTTGATAAGCACGGTTCAATGTCACACCACATATAAGTTTCAGGACATAATAGCTTTGATGGTTTCAATCGTGCCTTATACCGCATTTTAGGGCATGAATGTATATAAAATCCCATGTAGTAGTATTTCAAATCTTTTGCAACTTTATTCAATTGTCTTGTTAAATAAATTTCTCGAAGTGAACTAAATAAAATACAAAAAGTTGACAATTTATTGCAAATAATATAAAATTGAAAGATGGTACCAACCTAAATGTGCCAAGTGAGAGATGAGAATAAGCTGGATCATAAAAAAAGTAAACACTTGAAACACAAGATGGTAAAATGTCTATCACTCCAACTGCAATTAATTCATTATCTAACCAATATTGTTCATGAAAAGAGCCATATCCATCCGGCGGTCCATCATCCGGTGTCCATGGCTTCAAAATTATAAACTCCTTATTTGTATATGTTCTTTATCCAAAGCAATGAAATTTTTAAGCAGTATTTAATAAAAATATAAAGTAAATTTAATAAATATAAAAATTTAATAAATATAAAGTATCATACATAATTTTGTTAAACATTTTAATGTGAAAAAATAGTATTTTTGTATATCTTTTAAAAATTTTGTTTTTTATTTTTTTTATATAAGATTAGATTATAAAATTAAATTGCAACAACAACCTGAATACAAAGTGTACCTGTAAAGAGCTTTTTACAAGAAAGTTGAAGAACGATTCATCATCTGACTCCTCTTCTGTTTCACCGTGAATAGTCATTTGATATTTTTTAAAAAGGTTTGCACTTACTTTAAGTGTTTCAATAAATTCATCCGACAATGTTCTTACTAATTTCATCTGACGATTTAAATTTAAATATATAAATAATATTTATTAAACACAACATATAACACATATTGCAAGGAGGTCCACTTTGCTCCAATTAAACAATCATAACATCATAACAATTATTCAATACAGTGTTTTATACATGTATATTTTTTAATTATTGTCTAATAATCTAGTAATGTTAGTTGTATAATTGTATAGTTGTATAATTTAACAATAATCATGTATGATATCATAAAATATATAAAAGCAATAAAAAATTGTAATGATCTTTTTTCAGCGAGTAAAAAGCTTTAATATAACTCAGGAAATCATAGTAACTGCAAAGTTACCTGTAAAGGTGATTTCACGAGAAATCTTGTATATTGCTTCTCTGTAATCTTTTCTGATAGAACTCCATGTATTGCTGTTTCATATTTTCTATATATCTCATAAGATTGTTTTGAAGTATTTAAATATCCATTACTCATTGGCGAAATTCTAACTAGTTTCAGCTAATAAAAATTGCAAATTTTATCAAAATAAACTGAACTGTAATGAATTATTATAACTAAATCCAATAGTTAGAAATGTATGAAATAGTATTTACTAAAGTACAGTAAGTGGTAAGAATAATAGTTTGACTACTTTTCATATTTCTATTTATTTTATATATTAAATAAATTGGAGAAAAGAAGACCAACCTCAGTGAAAATCATTTATGTACAACATTTAGTACTTGAAGAAATAAATGTACAACATACATCCTACCTCTAATCTTCTATTGTTTCCTTTGTATATTTCATCAAATAATTGCTCTATGCTTTTAGCTTCATTTTCTTGTTTATTTTTTTTGAAAATAGTCTCTATTTCTTCTTGAGTCTTTCCTTGTGTCATTAATTTATGTTGCTTTCGTTGTTTACGTAAAAGCTTCGCTTTCATACAAGGTGCTCGTGTAGGATTCATTTCTATCGATTGTAAACTTTGTGATGTACCATGAGAATCGTTGTTATGACTTGAGGGCATAGGTACACTTTCAGAATTACTTTTTTTAATTCCTGTGTCATATTTTTTTTTCTTTTTGTCTGATACGCTAGGATGTAACCTTGCATTAATTTCATCATCAATAAATTTCACATCTATACTAGAAATATCTTTGTCAGCATTTAAAAAGTGTTTGCTGTGAGTAGGAAGTTCTTCAATATCTATAAAAAATGACTTTGTAAAATGACATATTATAGTTCATACTACAAACAATAATTTAACATATATAAATTTTCACCAGTATTATCACGATAATCTCCTTCATATGTATCCATAGTATCATCATAATGCAATTCATTTTTTAAAAATTTAGTCATTCTTTTCAAAATTTTTTTTTGCGATTTAGAAATTTTAAATTGTAATGCTTCGCATCTATTATAAATATTTAGATATATAAAAAGTTTATAATACAGTATGTACATGTATATTTTTTAATAAATAGAAAATTAATTTCTAAAGCAATTAAAAACTATTAATCTTACTTAATAGTATACATTGGACAACACGTTCGTTCCAAAATAGATTTATAACAATAAGAACCACATCTTCTCCAACCCCTATCTATTAGGGCTTGGTAATCTTGAACAGTCAATATATGTGTGCCCATGCCTAAAATGTATTACAATTAAGATATAATATGATATATAATATGATGTGCATATTGATATTGACATGCCAATACATAAGGCTTAACACGACAGGAACAAAAATTATACATGTATGAAGCAATCATTGATACCACATAACCTATTGACAGAAGCATGAAATTCTATCTATATAAGTGAAATTATTTAAAATGGAATTTGTAGCGTTTTGATACTTACCATGACTGAAATTTGTGTTTGGGTTTTTACAGTAACCACATTTGTATCTATCTTGTTCACCATAATACTCAACAATACTGTACGATTGTTCTGCCATATTTTCCTGTTTTATTATTACATTTACTCGTTTTATTATTGCATTGATTGCGATGACCTAATTAAACGAATAAGGTCAATTTATTATTGGATTTTCTTTTATCTATATTCATAAAATTGATAACACCTCACGTATTTAAAAATTCAACGTACTAAACAGAAGTGGCATCATCACTGCCATCTTGTCATTTTTGAATACATAATACAAACTTCGTAATATGAAATTAATGCAAAATACTTCCTTTGTTTAAACTTTTCATTTAAGAATTCTACGACATTAAATCAACGAAAATTGCTAAAATTGCATTCCAAGCAAAAAAATTATTCGTGAAAAATAAAATATTGATTTTTGTATTTGTAAATAATGAGTATAAAATACATATAGTATTTTTAAATGTAGTTATTCTTACGATAAAATAAAAGTAATAATCTTTGGTACAAATAACTGAGAAATTAGGATATACTGTTATTGAAAAATGGAGATAATATATTTCATATATTACTTATTATTAATATGTCATTTTATTCATTATATATTACTAATACATTACTTGATGTATTATATATAATCAATATATTATTTCATGTATTATGTTAGTTTTGATAAATTGATAAACAATTGTTATATATCATTTATCAATAAAATGAAATATGAGGATTAGTTAATAAAAATATAGAAATATTACGTTTACTTTTAAAATTCGTCAGCAGTTAGAATAGTCTTTAATTTTTACAAAAATCTAAAATGATACAATGCATATACGTTTTACCATTTTCATGAATGAAGTTACTCCTGTTTTACAGCAACAGGCGTCTCTTACTACACAGAGTGAAACATCGATCTATTCCTTCGGGATATCCCCTTCTCGCTGTTGGTTACAGGTTCTATTTCACAGGGTAGTATCAATAATCGGAAATACCTGACCCAACATAAATTTACACTACGGTGTTTGTTTATCTAAAATTTGTTATTTAATTGAAATTTTGAAGTACTTTTGTGCTTTTCAAGTTATTTTCTTGAGAAATAATATTAAGAAGAGTAATAATATTAAGAATAGTAAATTTTTCTTTTAATATTTTGCATTCTTAATTCTTATTTAGAATAAAATAGAATTTTAAACTTTTAAAATTTAACATTATTAAATCTTCAAGAACGCACATGTAATATCGCGTTGAAAGTACAATTAGTCGCATGAGAAATTAAAATGTTACGACTTTATAGTCAGCCTGTAATTGTCGATAAAGATGAGTATAATGGTTAATTATAGTTGCATGATTATTATTTGTTGTTAAATGATTTGAATCCTGGATTTATCGTATTGGTGGTATTCACGTCCCTGGGAGATCCATGCTCCCCTCTCACGAATCATTTCCTCATGCGTATGCTCCCCACTAAGTTTTCGAAGCACGGGGATTCGTCGTTTCCAGAATCAACGACTGACGTCAATGGGAACCAACCTTCGGATAGAGCACGTCGAATTATATTATTTCACAGAACTTGCCCCTGTAATTACAACGACGGCTGGATCCTTTCTCCGTAGAATTTCCAAGCTTCTGGTTAAATTACGAAGATTAACTTTTCTGCTATAAATGCAGAAAATGCAGTTGTGCGTTTCATCGAGGTTCATTTTCAAATTCAAAGAGGGAATATATCTGCAAAAAATTCACAACGATCGCGTGTTCCTATTCTATCTGACCTTTCGTATTTTGTGAATTTAGTTTACAATTAGAATGAAATACAATTAACGATGGAAATTTCTATTCTCCCGAGTCGAAACAGTAGGAAAATTTTGAACGTTGAATAAACAACAATATGGTAATTTCCGGTTTTTTCTTTTTTTGGTCGAAACAGTAGAGAGGTTAGATTCCAAAGGTATCCTCTAAAATAACAAATTTATAACAAATTTATAAAAACATATAAAACAAAACAAATATATAAAATATATAAATATATAAAAATATATAACAAATTTACTTGTATCTTTTAGGAATGGCCGTCTCTGATCATCTGTTGTACGCGCCCCCGTAATACAACCGTGAGCGTTGTTATTTCGCAAGAAATCCGACGAGGCGAGTTATGCCTGTTTTTGTGCAACTACTTTTAATTCGCGCAAGCGTGCAGCCGATTCTTTAGAAATAGGTCAATTACTAAGGTAGCACACAGTGCGCTAGGATGCGTCGTATCTCAAGTAAACACTTCGCTAAAGAGCGGTTGCTTCAGAGAATTTTGCCAACTTCCCTCCAGAGAGTTTCACCCAAGTACATAATTCCATGCCGCTCTTCTTCGACGTCTGTCGTTCGCTCTTCGTTTTCTAAACGCGGTGAACGCAAACAGACGAACCGAAATTAAAATTTTATATATTCAGCTTGAATGAATTTCCATTTTCTTCCAGAGTAAAGAGCAATTTCTTCTCTCTCCGTTGAACGCATCAAATCAATTGTTTGTCGACGAGAGAATTACACGTTGATAAGACGAAGAAAGTATTAAATATATACATAATTCAAAAGCATTTCGACCACAGGAGTCTCGCAGGTACATTAAAAATTTTTCATCGACGGTAATAATTTTGTTGCAAAACGTCAGCGCCGGGCGGCCAGGAAAAAAAAAAGAAAATTTCGAAAACCTCGCTTGCTCTCTTTTCTTCTTCCCATCGTCCTTTTCTCTTTTTCTCGTACGCCATAGAAAATATACGTGGGCGTTGGGTGCTCGTGGGCGTTATACGACGGCGTAGGCGTTTGGCCTGTTGCGGGGGCTGAAGAAAAGTGGCTGGGGACTGAATACGGAAAACGGTGCTACAATTCCTCCGGCACAGCCCACCACCCTACCGCTGGTGTTCCAGACATGAAAGAAAATACGGATTTGCGACGAGAACCAAGAGAAAATGCGCCACGATATCGCTGGGAAAAATATTCTTCCTCCAAACCACCAAATCCATTGAATTGCAATTGCAATTCTATTGAGAATGCATGTTCTATTACACTTCATCCTGCTTTTCTCAATAAAAGCTACATATTACGAAACATTTCCATGGTAATTAAGGCAAAGGAAATCTGTAAGCGCGGTCTTTTGTTCAATGTACCAATAAAATTCCACAAATTATGTAATTCGATTAAAACCAGAGAAAATATTTTAATTGCTTGATTATCTTCTTAGAAAACATTTAACGTTTGATTGAATTGCGGCCACGAGGCACTGGAACAGAAGGATTTTGAAGAACTCGAGATTCCCGCAACTTCTTCAGCGCAAAGCAAAATGAAGGAAGTTCAGCATCGTCAAAGGATGTGCCACAAATACTTGTAACAATTCCAAGGTATAGAGCGGTACATCTATTTCTAACTTCCTTAAAATTTAGATTATACAGTATGCTAGTTTCGTCGAATAAAATCAGGCACGGATCGAAACGAGACGTCGCTGAAAAAATTGTCAAGGGGTTCCTCCTCCTCGAAGGGTGAGTTCTCTAAAAACAAGGAGCCAAGATGTGACCAAGAGAAAATTTCAAGGCTGGCTCGGAGGATCTGCCTCGGGTCATCGCGTGGGTAGACGTATTTTGTGGTACAATGGGAGTGTGTGTGTGTGTGTGTGTGTGTGTGTGTGTGTACATGTTCCATGTAGAATGTTCATATAACCGTGCGCGTGTGCACGTCATATCACTTCGTAGAGACGCGGTAGGGGTTGCTTTCAGGGTAGGGGTGCTCGTTCACCAAGGTGGGGGTGGTTGATCGACCGTACCCTCTGCCAGTTTTCTAGTCGTCCTGCTCAGCCTCGACGTTCATTCTACCTCGATCAGCCGAACTCGCTAGTTCTCTGCATCCTTCGGAGGAACGCTCTCGTGAGAAGAAGTCTTTGGAAGACTGGCCAGAGATCTAGAACGAAGAGAACAATCGACGCTGATTAAGGTGAAGGAACCAATCTTTCAATTGTATCAATATCCAGCCCTTTCCGGTACGAAATGTTACTGCTTGAAATTGTAAATCACGGACGGCGATCGTTCGATCGATTTAATTGGCCAATTTTTCGCGAGATAAAGACCTGCTAAAATTGCTCGGGATATAAATAGGGGAGTAAGAATAGAGAATTCGTGTTCAGTCACGAAGATTCCTTATCAACGATAAGTAACTATACTTCCTCGTGCCGCCGTTTAACTCTAAAGATAGAAAATTAATTTGATTCGAAATTTCAGTGGGAGATGTTTTACACACGCATATATAAGTTTGTCAGCTGGAAGATACTTAGCTTCGAATACAATAGTAACAAGTTTCAGATAGGTCTGTAACTTTTCTAACGTTGGTTCGTAAAGACTTATGAAAACTATTTAAAACATATTTTGTCGAAGCAGATAATACTGACGCTTTACGCGCGTCTGGATTTGTCAATGAAAGTACAGTCAATGAAATGTATTTTTAATTGCGAGTTACATAGACGCGTATACAAACGCGATAAATGACTATAGTATTTCTAGACGCAACAAGTGTGCGATTTCTGGGTCTACTATATCCGATTTAGCTTTATTTCCTGGCCAGGTTTAATTGCTCAATGCTATCACCAGAATTAAATCGCAAATTTCATTTTGTTTATTGAGTATCGCGAATAATTGTCGTAGAGTACACGATGTGTTTGAGACTGAATCTTTTAAAACGAAAGTAATGTAAGAAGAAACAGAAATGAACGAAGTAAATTTCCCATAATATTTACCAAATGTATACACGTATGCGATTGAAACATCCTTTTGAACTCTGATATTTCGAACTAATGGAACCACCATTGCGAGCAGTCGATTATAAATTTCCAGGCTGTCTCTGTTGAGATTTAGTTAATTGCATATCTAATTAGCGGTAACTCCCGTGCATCGACGTAAACTAATTGCCCGTATGTTCCAAAGCTCTTGTAATTAAATTATCAGCATCACTTGTTAAGGCCATAGAGTTTCCAGCATCTGGTGTTCATTTTCCATGAAACTGACCAGTAAACGAATAACACAATTAATTCCACTTCGTGCAAACTGATGTTTGTCGTCAAATTTATCGTTAAATTTAACTTATTTTTTATTATCAAGAAATTCTTCTGAAATTAGACAGTAGAAGATAAGATAAGATATATTTACGAGAGCATTATTGATGCATTAAATTTTTTCACTGACTTGATTGAATCGTCAATAATTCAGAGAATTTCTCCATCTTTATTAGATCTTTACAAAATCGTACAAACATTTACAATTTCCTATGGAACTTCCGACATGTATACCCGTTAATTTTTTACATGCAATGGAAATAGATTCTTGACATTTCGCATTATGTGACATTTAAGCTTCTTTCGTAGTGACCTGCTATCTTCATTTACCTGCGCTTGCGAGGAGTGTAAACTTCCACCTGTACACACTTTATAGCGACCATACTTCTTCAAACTGCACCCTTAATCAATTTCACATTTGATTAAAGGGTCAAGAAACCCTTGCGCATAGTCGATAAAGACATCTTTACCCTTATCCCTCTGATAAATTTCATCAGATCAGTTAGTCGAAGCTTGGATCAACAACCCAACGATTAATATTTTTTTTTCCAGATGACGTGCAACTGGGTGTGGTTACTAACTTTATGCTCCCTCCTCGTGATAGCACAATCTCTGCCAACGAATCTGGCGGACGATGCAAAAAAGACTGAACAAACAATGAGACCAAAACGTAAGGCACATCGGATCATTTTCTACGATTCACAATACAATTATATAACTTGCCCCGCTAATGACACGTTTCGATTCTAGCTAAACGGGCACAGGAAATGTTGATGTTCGGTAACCAACAAAATCGCCAGCCGGAGAAAAAACCAAGCGCATCTTACACCTCTACCGCAGAAAAGAGTGAGTATTTAAGTATTAAATAACAAGCACCATTCAATCATTTTTCGTATCTTAAAAAATATTATAATATAATATATTATAAATAATATAATATATATATATATATTAAATATTATATATAAAATATTATAATAATGTACCTCGAAATATTCTGATTTATAATCAACGTTTGATTCAAGGGACCCTAGCCGCATCCGGACTAGGCGGGCTAAAAGCAGCTCTTGCCGAGGAGGAGAAGCCTTCTCACTCTAACATACCAAACAACGCTGTCTACGATCGTGATTCCTTTTCTCCATACGACAGAAGCTACGAGTAAGCGATTTTTTTTTAATAAATCGAAATATACTTCACCTTTGAAATCGAATCAATCGATACGATCTGTTCCTGTTTCTTTTTCTGTTTCAGTTACGGAAAGGTCATGATGAACGATTTGGGATATGAGATGCCCCAAGTGTGGGACGTTCCATCATACTCCCGTTACTACATGAACGAAGACCGTCGGAAGAGATCCGAGAAGTCGACCGGATCGACTACCGTGAAACCGTCGACCACTTCGTTCCAATCTCCAACGTCCACTCAGCAGTCTGTGCAGGCGCAGGTGAAGAGAAGGTGAGTGAAACTTAATTGAATTGTTGAAAAAAGGGAGAGAGGTGAATAAAGAGGAAAGCACAAAAAGGTTGTACGTTTGGTTTATCTCCCGCGTTGGCTTAGAATTGGTCGGATCTGAAGTTGTGAATGCTGTTTACGAAACAATTATGTATCGTGACGCATTCATCGCTTGACGACTGCGTGAAACGCAATCGGGATTAAGATGCGTCAGGGTGAATTCACCTGTGGAACAGGCTGCCTCGGGGGCAGGGTGAATCGACTCGGTAACCCGTCCGTCATTTCTACCCCTACGAGAGCTCACCCTTCCCGCCCTCTTGCTCGGGACATTCCTCTTTTTCTTCGACGTTTCTTCTGAATGGGGATGAGAGGGCTGACGAGGGCGTTGCCCTCGGCAGAAACGCCGGTGGACTTGACGGGCAAGTCGGTTCGATACGACTTCGAGAAGCTGAAGTCGTTATCCGAGTTGATCAACACAGCGTATCAAATCGATTTCTCTCTCCACTTAATTTTTTTCGTCGCGATAATTTCCAGACTCATCTAAATATAAAGGACAGTATAGAATTATCTGCAACGAATACAGCACGATATTTTTTTTTCTTTTCTCCCCTCTTCTCTTTTCTTCTTCCTCTCTTTCATTTAACAACGGAGTGTATATACATTCGACAGTATAAGGGACCTCTAGACGTTCCGATTCAAATCGGAAGTCGATATAGTTTCGTAACGAAGGCTATCGATGATATTTATAGCGTTCCGCGTTTACGTAATCGTCGTCATTAAGTACCTAAATGACGTAGACCATGACGTTCTACGATACGTCATAGAATGATCAATTACTTACTTTGAAGTTTCCCTACGTCAAACTTTTATTTTTACGTTCAAACGTAGTTACAAGTGTGTATTGCCTGACCTGTAAATAAATGTCACAGGTCACTTTCCGCACATGCACGCTAATATATTTACGAACGAGCTAATTCCTATTACGTGGAAAAGAAAAAAAAAAAAAAAAAAAAAGAAAAAGAAAGAACCGTGTCGTCGAAAATTACGTCCCGATACCGAGTTAATCTCCGCGTAAAGCGTCGACGAAGGAAAGAAATGCCGAAGAAATGCAGAAGAGAGGTTCGGCGTGTGTTGGAATAATTTTCTGCCGGTGACTAGAGCAGGAGGAGGGTACAGATTACACCGTGACGCGATGTCAAGAGTGATTCTCTCGCGACGGTCGTGTTTCTTGTCGGCGACAAGTAATCCGGAATCAATTACTAGTCCGTGGCAGCCCTGAGGAACTGGCACGGTCACGGTGCGGAAGAGGCAGGGGACGCGACGACCTTTTTTTTTTTTTTTTTCCTTCAGAGCCGGCACCCGATCATTAATCACCCGCTTTTTAGCTGGAAATTCCCTCGCGCCTAGTTTACAAAACGAGGGGGTCGTCGAAATCGCCTCGTCACCCACGACAAGGGTGATGGTTTTTGTAGTTTCGCCGACGAGCGAGGCCCGCCTCTTCCACCGGCCTCGGGATCGCCGCGCCGGCTCCTTCACGTGCGATTACTCGAGGTAATCTCGCTTGTCTCACGCGATCGACTCGTTCTCCATTAACGGAGGACGCGAGGGATGGTACGTTGTCTCTCTCTCTCTCTCTCTCTCTGTCGTGGTCTGAGGTGTTGTTAGGTGTTGGTTTTAGAGCGTTCAAAGAAAGTGTAGTTTAACGCAGCGGCGGTCACAAGTGTAACGTTTATCGCCGGGGAACACGAAACGCCGCGACCGATATCAAATTTTACGCTTCAGCATTCGTAACTTGGCGCTTGGAACACGCGAACGACAATATTCACGGGGCTATACACTCTATATTTTCTTGTATTGTGCGTCGTAAATCAAATGCATCAGTTTACATACGAATGCCTGTGTATGCTAATGTGTATGAACAATTATATCACAAAATATGCCTACAGTTGTTTGAATGTTTTATCGTCTACGATATTGAATAATAAATGTGAAAACATTTTCTAGAACTTGTTTTTGCGGGAGCATGCATATTTTAGGTAATTAACTGTGTGAAACTGTTTATAAATAATTTGGTAATTATTCATCGGCTTTAAATCATTAATACGTGTAAAATATACATCCAGGAACGAAAGGGAACAGCGTACTCTATATTTTCTTGTATTATGTGTCGTAAATAAAGTAGAGCGAACGTAGAGTAAATTGTTACATCAGGATTTCCTGGAATATTGGATGTTGTCATTTCCAAGAGACAATTGCCCAAAAAACGAGAATATAAATATTCAGCGTCAGCCTCGAGGCAGACAGATTTGAACGAGTCGAATATTTACGCCCCAGTCGTGCAGAAACTATCGAAAACGTAACATACACGCGTGAAATACAGTCGGTTAAGTGCGTACTGACATTTGTTAAAATGGGTCGCGGAAAGAAATGAAATCCAGCTGAAATACATACACTGAAATTAAAAACAAAAATACTCAAAACAGTTAATGAGAAGTGGTAAAATGACAGTGAATTTACTAAAAGATCCCGATAATTGTGAACGATCGCATTATTCTGAGCTCGGGATAAACGTGCTATAATACATATAGTGTCAAATTCAAGCTTGACCGCTTGTGATAAATTACAGAAAATGCCGGAATTGGGACAAATGTTGGAAATGTTCGACGCCTTTTAAAGAACTGTGAACACTCGAAACGAAAGTTGCAACGAAAGCCTTTGCAATTTACAGAGAAATATATTTATATAAATAAGAAATAGCAGAGTGTCACATTTACCGATGAAAAGAGATTTAATTATCATCATGATTTACGAAAGGAGCAACAACTGTCGAGTCGTCGATTCATAGGAGGTAACTGTGCAATGATTTGGGGAGATATTGGTTACGACGGTAAGTTGGAAATAAAATTTATTGCAGGAAAATTAAATAGTAAACAGTATACTGTTTACTATTTAATTTTATTCTATACTTTACTGAAATGATTGACGTATACGACACGAGTAAGTGCTGGAAATAAGTACATTTTTCAAAATAATAAAAAAGCAGTGACACAATACTTTTCAAACGAAAGAATTCGCGTTTGAAACCAAGTTTCCAGACTTAAATATTATAGAAAATTGTTGGGAGAGTTTGTCGAGGGCCATATATCGGAATAGAAGACAATTCGCAACTATCAATGAACTTAAAAAAATGTACGAGCGAAGAAATGGGAAGAAATAGGCCAAGAAATCATCAAAAGACTGTATAAACCTTTGCCTTAAAGAATGGCTACCGTTATTAAATGCAGAAGAGGTGTTATACAAGTGTTAAACAATTATCAAACTCGTTCCTTTCTATCCATTTGTTTTCCACGAAATATCATTTTGACTCGCTAAATATTATCATACTTCTATTGTTTTCTTTTCTTTATATTGAAATAAATATAATTTCTGTTATTTGCGTTACATGTTGAAGACACTGAGAGAAAGATTTTCTGTCATTCGTTTAATGAAAAGAAATTTGATAATTTTTCGAGTACGATAATGCTTGATCAACTATTGAATTTTTTTTTTTTTTTTTAATAATTCCGTGACATTTTTGAAACTAGAGAGTTGCACGACTCGGAGAGTCAAATTGTTGCTTTTCATTCCACGGTACTGAGAGATTTCGTAACGATATTACCATAAAAATACGAAAAACAATGATACATCCAAGGCTCGATCAATCAACACGGCAACAATGCAACAGAAACAAAGGGCAGCCGTTTTACAAACGCCCTGTGCGCTGTTGTACGATATTTTTTAACAGAGGTTATTCGGTATTCCGTTATCTGGAAACATTTGTACGCAATATCTGCGCAAAGATCTCCAAGTATCCGTAGATACGTATCTGCAGGATCTGACAGCATTGACATTTACTTCAAGAGCTCGGTTACACGCGTACAAACCACGTAGTTGGTGTGATCGGCTATGGGAAAATCCGTCCGCGTATAAATCGCATAATGGAGACCACTCGTGTATGGTGTTGACTTCGAAGGTTGTGTCTGACATTCGTCATTTGTCTGTTATAGCACACGATACACAATGTTTGTCGCTGGTAAGTCTCTCCGTGACACGGTACATACGCTACTCGCTTTCGTAGTTCGTTTCCATTCATTTGCATTATTCGCTTGTTACGTAAAAGCTGATGAATGACCGTTTGTTCTAGAGATTTTTCCTTTAGTACAAAAATATCGTGAAAAGAATCGCGCAATGATCAGTTTTAAATCCTCGCTTTCACGAGCTTGAATTCATTTTCTTCCATTTGCTAGACGATGACAAAATATCTTTGAGAAAAATGAATCTGGAATTACGAGAGTAAAGCCAAATAGATTAATGTCTAATTGTCAATTAAATATCAACAGTTTCTCAGAAATCACAGAAAATACAGTAATGGTTATAAAAGTAACTCTTATAAAAGTAACTTTAAAATGGAGTAACAAATGCATAGAATTTTCATTTTCAAGGCGGTAATTGTTGTTCGTTTCGTACTGTTTTATTTTATTATTATACTTTGCACCTACGTACCTTTTCTTTCTACAGTGAGTTTCCTCTGTTAACGAACAAAATAAAAACTCGCAGTCTGATTATAATGATACAACAACGAGTTTTTATTTAATTCGATTTGGAAATCTCTGGTCAACAAGTACCACTTGCTACATCATGCCAGATGAGAAAAAAGCTTCTCGCTTACGTGTACTTCACGCGACCTTGTCTCCGATTTGCAAAACGAGCGAGCACTCCAGCAGAAGGGACGGATTTTTGTTTCCCGGTCTCCCTCGATCAGTCACTGTAATTGATACCGTCTCCGCGAGACGAATGTTAATACGCTCGAGCGTAGAAAAACTCGGAAACAAATTGAATCACCGGGGCTCCTTCCACGAAGCGAAAGGTCATCGAAAGAACTCGACCTTGTTCCCACCTCTACCGGCCACTGGATCATAATTAAATCCTTCGGAGGCTCGTCTATTCCCTTCTGTCGCGTTTAATAAATCGGCGATACTCTTTCTTTGTTTTCGCTTCTTTCCCATGCGATATT